GCAGCCCAACAACCCAGTTCCACCTTTCCATGGAGCCACCATGCATTGCATTGCATTCGATCAAAGATCTTCCTAGAAATATCAATCCGTCCACACTTGGTGTACAAATCCACGCTTGAAATTGGGTTTGGATTTGTACACTCTAATCCCTGCATTTGGTTTAACCTCAGACTAAAAAAAACATATCTCTGAACACTCTAATCGCATCAAAACAACAACTAATGTCTGAAAATGCCCGAATAATCAAGTTCCAAGACATCAAATTCTTCTCAGACATTTCACCGAACACTTTTTCCACAGCTAACAAATCACCACAGTTCCCATAGAACGTCAACAGAGTATTATTCACTTACACATCTGAATCAAATCCGACCTTCAGCAATGTTCCATGAACCTCCAGTCATTCCCGGACCTCCAAAAAGTCCGAGCAAAGCTTAAGCACAAAAGGGAAAGTATGATCATCCGGCATAACACCACTCCTCAACATCTCATTATACACCATAAACCTATTGTGATCATAAATCCCTAGCATCCCCTGAGCTCGAATGAGGGTGTTGTAGAGAAATGACGAGAGAGCAATAGTGACGCTATGGGAGAAGAGGGCCAATTGTGAAAAAAGTGGAGCAAGGTGAGAAAAATGGAATGCTTCTCTGTCTCAAATACACTCATGACTAAGAAGAAAATGAGGAAAAAGAAAGTAAGATAATGAAAAGATCAATATGCCCCTAAACTAACGGCTAAGAGATAGATGGATAACAGAATGAAAACAAATTAGAAAGTCAAGTGTCTTTTTCGTCTAAATTAAAAATTAATGATCAATTTTAAAAAATCACAATTATTGGAAGACCATGGCTGGAATTAAGGGGGGTGTATTCAATCATGACTTTCATAGAGTTTTAAAGACTTTTATAAACTTTAAAAGTTGGGAGGTATTCAATTCAAACTTTTAGAGAGTCTTTAAAAGTCAGGCGGTATTCAATCAAGATTTTTGAAGAGTCTTTAAAAGTGGTGTGATATTCGATTAAGACTTTTAAAGAGTCTTTAAAAGTCATGTGGTATTCAAAAAGTTATGAACATTTGTAGACTTTTTAATTTTAAGACTTGGGTAGACTTTTCCTTCTCAAATATAAATAGTTGAAATCCAACCATCAACCCCAAGATTTCAAAATTTTCTTTCTTACAACTCTGAATGTTTTCTCTCTCTATTAAAACTCTATTTTTTTTCTCCCTATTTAAACTTTATAAACCTATCTAAATTCAATAAAATTATTTTTTTCTTCATTATCCTATATTTTCCTCATACCTAAACTCTACTAATTTTTCTCTCTCTCTCCTAAACTTTACAATCTTCATCTAAAAATTTGAAATAATATTATTTTTACTTCATTATTGCTTGTTTATATTGATTTTTATTTTTTCTATGAATTTTGTATCCCTAACTTTCTCTAATTCCCTCTAAATACATTAACAAAGCAAAATTTTCATTGTCAAATTTTTGTATATGTTTCATAATATTCATATAAATACTTATATATTTTGTTTTTTATTCTTTTTATGCTTATATTCGTAATATATATTTTTCCTTTTTTTAACAACAGGTTACTATAAATAGCGAACTACTGTTCGCCATAACAATTTGGGGTTGCAAACAGTAGCACATTGTTGCTGTTCGCAGTCTCAAATTGCTATTGCAAATAATAGTACTTTGCGTGATAGATGCCTAGCAATATATCAAGTATAATTTTTTTATATATATTATTAATATTAAATGTTTATTTTTTTTTTATTTTAGGGAACTTGTAATTATATTTTTAAATATTTTATTTGATCAATTCTTTTATTATAAATTTTATTGTTTAATAATTTTATGACTTTCTAATGAAATAGTTTTTTTTTTTGGTTGATGTTTATTAATAATATATATAAGTAATTAATATTTTTTTAAGAATAAGTAATTAGCATATAAGTCTCAACATACTAGGGATAAAAATAATAATCTTGAGAATGTTGATGTGGGTGAAGAACTATATAATAAGAAGAATTTTATGATATATTATAAATGTTTTGTAAGAAAATTATATAAATGATAAGAATCAAAATCATTGAAAGTTTGTAAGGATGTATTCAATTTAGAATTTCAATGACTTTTGTAAATTTTTTAAAATAAAAAGTTGATAAAAGTCTATGAATGTTTTTTATATAGACTTTTATAGAGTCTTATAAAGTTTTAAAAAGTTTTAAACGACTCTATGAAAGTTAATCAAAGTTTATTAAAATTTATAAGTCTTTAAAACTCTACAAAAGTCATGATTGAATACGCCCCTCTAAGAGCAATCACACCAATGCATAATATGGGGATAATGTAAGATGAATTCACTCATGTTGAAAAGAATAATTGATGTGGAGAAGAAAGAATAGCAAAATAATTCTCCTGCAAATGAGGGGAGAATGGAAGAAAAAAAAAAAGAAAAAAGTGAAGCAAGCTGCCAACGCACGGACTGCGTGTATCGCGCAGTCCAAGAGGAAGGCCACGCGCCCGGTGGCGCGTTAGGCGCGCTAGTCGGCGCGCCTGACGCATCTGATTACTTTATTTTTTTTTTTAAATTTTTTTTGTTTTGTTTTTTTTTTTGTTTTTTTTTTTTGGGATAAAATACAAATAAGCCACTGTACTATTTGGGAAAAATCAATTAAGCCATCGAACTCAAATAACCCCCAAATAAGCCATTGAACCCGGAAAAAAATAGCAATTATCATTTTTAACAGGTTAACTCCAGGTTTTTGCTGATTGGATTGCCAAATGTTTATTTTATTTACCTTTTTTTATTATTATAATCCACCTACATAGTAAAATATTTTAAAGTAATTATAATCAAAGTAGTTTTGTTTTGTCTAGATCTAATTTATTTATTTATTATTATTTTTTAAATAAAAGATCCAATGAAAAATAATAATAATAAATAAATCAAATCTCGACAAGACAAAACTATTTTGATTATAATTACTTTAAAATATAATACTATCCAAGTGGATAATATTATTAAAAATAATAATAATAAACGTAAATAAAATAAACATTTGACAATCCAATTAGCAAAAACCTAGAGTTAACCTGTAAAAAATGTTAATTGCTCTTTTTTTTCAGGGTTCAATGGCTTATTTGCTCTTTTTTCCCGGGTTCAATGGCTTATTTGAGGGTTATTTGAGTTCGATGACTTAATTGTTATTTTTCAAATAGTTCAGTGGTTTATTTGTACTTTATCCCTTTTTTTTTCTCTCCCCTCCCACATTCTCTTTCCTAATCACTCTTACATTATCCCCCAATTCTCCCCAACTAATGTGGATGCTCTAAGAGCATCCACACTAGTGGATAATAGGGGGATAATGTAAGAAGAAATAAATTGAGTGGGGTTATTTATAGATGTGGAGTGGAGTTAATACATGAATTATTTCTCCTGCAAATGCTAAAATATTTGGAAAGAGAAATATCAAGAAACATTAACTGCTGTGCGCGTTTCGCGCACTGCAGTCAGCCACACGGGCGCGTCAGGCGCGCCTGACAATGTTTTTCTTTTTTTTTTTTTTTTTTTTTTTAAAAAAAATTTTTCTTCCCTTTCCACCTTCTCTTTCCTAATCACTCTTACATTATCCTCAATTCTCCCCAACCATTATGAATCGGCGTACTATATCTTTGACTAAAACTTGCTTGAAGATGAAACCCAAAAATCTACATCTACAATTCTAATAAGGGCCAATAATGTTAGGCCCTTAACTGGAACAAAAAAATGTCGGTCCTATTGTTTCTTAAAATGGATGATTCATATTATACTATTGTTTCTTAAAATGAATGGTTTATATTATTTTTATTTTAGTATTTTTTATTGATTTTCCTTATTTGCCCTCTATTATATTATTTTCTTCCCTTAAATAACCTAAATTCCGTTAGCATAAACTTTAGTAACGGAATATTCCGTTAAGTATTTATTATTTTAACTTACACATTAATTTCTATAAGAAAAGTCTTAGTTTCGAACCACATCCCAATTAGAGTTAGCATAATTGTTAAACATATACTACGGATATGTTAAAATATATATAATATAAAATTTAACATAAACTTTGTTCAAATAATTAGTCTGACTAAATACATAACATTCAAAGTTAAGCATCAAAGATTATAAATCAAGAACTTTAAAAATCATTTGATCAAAAAAAAACTTAATATTCTTTTGATTATTTAGATCAGAAAAAAAACTTAATATTTCAATTATACTTTTGCATTAATATTTTTTGTATGCATTTTTAAAAAAAAAAAAAAATCAATGATTGCATTATTGTTGATGAAAAGTATATACGCCACTTTATTACTCTTATTAAACTAAATAAAGTAGTAGCTACAACAAAAAATAATACATATGCATTTAATTAATTTAGAATTAGATGTCTATAATGCCTTTATTTAAAAAAAAAAATATTCATTATAAAAAATTTAAAAATAGATATAATTTCATTAATTATATTATCTTTATTTTCTACAATTCAAAGATTCATTACCTTCAAATTTATCAATTTATTATATTCACTGCATTGTCCATTGTCTTTTTTTTTTTTTTTATATTATCTTGTAATTAAATATCAAAGTTATAATACAAAATACATTATATATATTTATTTACCAAGTATTTTATACAAATATAATAACTATTAATATTTTGTTCAATACTTTCACATGATAACCTACGACACACATCTCACAATGCATGAAACATGTAGGGGAAAACTACCACTACCAAATATCGATTAGAAAATTCAATAAATATTATCTTGCATTTATATATTTTGAATTACCGATTTAAATAAACAAATTCAATATTTATTTACATATGCATGAACATCTCCGATATAATATTGCGTTGATATACTTTGAAATACTTATTTAAAAATAATCATTGGGCACTATCCCGTAAAAAAAACTAGTATAAATATAAATACGGAAGAAGAAGAAGATCTTGAATAAAAGGTGGGCACTTTACGTCTTCTTCACATTTGTCCTAAAGTTAAGCAACTCTCCACTACTATCTTTCGTTGACCTCTTACTCTTCAGACATGTCTTCTTCTGCTATTTGGCAACTTACCATCTCTCTCAATAAGCACCGTTATTATTCTCCAAGATTGGGTTTTTATCACCGGTTTCCATGGCTTCTTCTTCTTCTTCTTCATTTCCAACCCCTCAAAAGGTAAAGAAGAGGGCATTTATTTGCAGTTGCTGGTCTTCTGTATTTCTGCTTTCTGCAGGTTTCTTCATTGCCACTGCTGTTTTCGTTCTCACAGATTACAGACAGGTGTGCTTCCACTAAAAACCCACTCGCATCATATCTTTAATTTCCTGTTAAGCTTATTGATTTTGTGGGTGCAGAGGTTTTTAGGGTGGCAGCTGATTGAAACTGTCAGGACATCAGAACCCACTTGTCAGGTTTGTTCAAACGTACAGCTTATCTTGATCTCATCTCATGCTGTGTAATTGGTAAAGCTTATGGATATGGGTTTTGATTATGGCTTATGATCATGGAGGATTAGTCATAAATTATGTGATTGCAATCTATGGTGTTTGTCAATTCAAGCATGTGGAATTGTGGAAAGTGGATTGCTTTAATCTGATTAAAGATTTAAATTTTCCAAATGTGCAAAGGGGGACAATTATGATAGTGGATTGTGTTTGTGTTAAATGTTTTGACCGGTTTATAATAATAGCTGGTTGTAAAAAAGTGTTGGGAAACAAAAACGTTTCTCCAAGCAGATCGAGTTTTGGAAATCAAGTAATTGTCCCAATCAACTATTCCAATAAGCTCTTTTACCAAACACTAATTTTAGCTGGGTCAAACAGCTATATTTGGTCGAACCAGTTGAAAAATGGCTGATCAGCTATTTTCCAAACACCCTAGACAGCGAATTTGTTTATTTAGTCATGTATATATAATTATATATACTTCTTTTATTTAGGATGAATGCAAGGCTGTTGGAACTGAGACATTGCCTAGGGGTATTGTTTCTAAAACCTCTGATCTGGAGATGCGGCCGCTTTGGGGTTCTGCTAAACAGGTAGGCGCCACTTCGATCTTGCTAATACTAACTCATTCTAGCAGCACGATTTGTTGAAAATGATGTTGGATGATGAACTATGAAACATACTTATTATGATTACACAAACAGTGCTATCTGGTTTGTCTTATCAGCATTGTACATTCTCTCCCCTTATCTCTTTAATTTGTTCCCAGAAGCCCAAGTCTCCAATGAGCTTGTTAGCAATGGCAGTTGGGATAAAGCAGAAGAAGAACGTAGATGAAATCGTAAAGAAGGTATATATAGAAAGAAAAACTTCATTATATTGATTGTCGTAATTTATATTGTATATAATAAAGACTATTGTATATATGTATAATCCATGATATTTTTTTATATGATTTGCAGTTTCCATTATCTAATTTCATGATTATGCTTTTCCATTATGACGGGCTGGTGGATGAATGGAAAGATTTGGAGTGGAGTAGAAGCGCCGTTCATGTTTCTGCTCCCCATCAAACAAAGTGGTACAGATTAATACAGACAAATTAAATGTTCTTCATCCCGATATCGTTGCAGATTATGCTTACATTTTCGTTCATTAACTCATGATTAGGTGGTTTGCCAAGCGGTTCTTGCATCCCGATATCGTTGCAGATTATGCTTACATTTTCCTCTGGGATGAAGATCTCGGGGTTCAACATTTTAATGTTGCAAGGTAGTATATATATATATGTAGCATTAATATAATGAAACTCTGATCTTGTGATGAAGCTTGAAACACTACTTACGAGTTCTATTACGTGATTTCCATTTCTGATTGTTTTTGGGTACTTGGATGCAGATACTTATCGATAGTGAAAGAAGAAGGGCTTCAAATATCACAGCCCGCAATAGATGCTGAGATATCAGAGGTTCATCACAAGCTTACTGCTCGAGAAAATGGATCAAAAGTTCACAGGTATCTTATATCTACTCTATATATAATCAAATCAGCATATATAAACGCCCTTCTACTATGGCTACGTACTCAATATATCAAATCTCGTAACATTAATTTAACATAAGATGCCTTTTGTCTGTGTCTGTTGTGTTGTACCAGGAGGGAAATAAACATTAGAGGCCCGGGAAGGAGGTGCTTCCCCGACAGCCAGGGTCCTCCTTGCACTGGGTAAATCCTCGTTGCAATTTTCTCTTTAGTATTGTTATGGAATATATATTTGATATATAGAATCTCTATATATTAGACAGTTTAGGAGTTTAGGTAGGTAGGACATATGGAAACTTGTCGTAGTCTTCTAGCACCTATTTATAGGGCTGTGTATTCTCTATATATGACAGTTTGAGACAATATACGACAGCACATTAGAAACTCTCTCTTCACTTTCGTAACATGTATCATATATATAAGAACACTAGAGATATGAGTGGTTAACATATATCATATATGTCACAGATGGGTGGAAATGATGGCTCCGGTTTTCTCTAGTGCATCGTGGAGATGTGTGTGGCACATCGTTCAGAACGACCTGGTTCATGGATGGGGCGTCGACTTCCAAGTTGGTTATTGCGCACAGGTTAGTTTGCCATCACGCAACAACAAATTAAAAGCCAATTTCTTACATTATAATGTCGTATAAGTGTTTAGTACATTCTTGGCAAGTATATTTATCTGTGACATATGTATTATCTGACAGGGTAACCGAACCGCCAATGTTGGGGTGGTTGATACTGAATATTTGGTTCACTACGCCCTCCCTACACTTGGGGGGTCATCAAACGAGGTATACATACATGTATACCATGTTGTTTCACAGCTACTGGGGATTCAGTCATTAGCCTAATAAGGTTCAATTCTTGTCTGTCATCCTTGTAAACTTGTCTTATTGTTTCTTAACTGATAATGCAGACAAGTAATGAAGCAAAAGGCCAATCCTCATCTCATCCATCTGATGCTAGAAATGCAGTAAGTTCAATTCCTGTTTTAATTATTAGATGCAAACTTTGGTTATCTTCCTTGAACATATATATAATATTTATGCAGTCCAACTATCAGCTTATGCTTTTAGTTGAGACAGAACATATCTTTCAATTTGATATCAGAACTTACCCACCCGCCCATAAGGTCATGCGTTTGATCGAATCTTCGCGTCACCTCATACAAAAAGCAGACACGTGAGGAGGCGTGTTGAGCATATAATAGACAGTGTTAAATTAAAAATGAGGTTTTGGTTGCAGGTGAGGAAGCAATCTTATGTTGAGCTAGAGATCTTTAAGAACAGATGGGGAAAAGCTGTTAGAGAAGACAAATGTTGGGTTGACCCATTTTGAAGCCAAAGAGGACTCTTACATATATGCATCACTAAGGAATTGAAAATTCTTTCTATCCTTTTTAATAGAAAGGAAAGTTGTATCAATTATTGATTGTCATGTAGTATACTAATATCATATTATCAAAAGTCTAAAATTTCTTGAATTTGAATTTCATACTTTACTTGTTATCCTTGCGTGTTCAAAAAAGGTGGGTGAGTGGGATAGAGTATGATTCTCGTATTAGAAAGTCATAAATTTTATTTTTGTAAACATCTTTTTAATCGAATCTGTTGTACAAGATCTTCTTAGTATTGTTTATTTTGATATACTTTGCAAACTATTATATAGAAGCAGGTTATCGAGTAAAATTGTTCAATGCACACTTATGAAAAGACAAATGACATATTTAGACATGACATTCACATAGAATTTTGATGATTAGTAATATATTTTTACCCTTAAAAATAACTATAATGACTTTTTTTTTTTTTTTTTTTTTTTGTCTCCAAACTTGGAGACAAAGAAAGAAGCCATTTAGAGGAGGCATGTTCTTCATCTGTTGCAATGTCTCTATTTTTAGTGGAAAGGAAGACTGTCAAATAAAGGACAAAAAAAATTAAAATCCTTCAATAAAAGAGGAGAGGCCACCATGGCAAATTTGAAACTTTGAGCCATGGTTCACACTAACACTAGATTATCCCTATTTAGTTTGTGGAAAATATTTGAGAGAAAATAAAATTGAAATTTTATAGAAAAAAAATTACCATGAATATTGATTTTATTGTTTGGTTTGTGAAAACTGAAAAGTAAATTACTGGCCCACCATTGCCAAATTTGAAACTTTGAACCATGATTCACACTGCTCATCTCCTGTTTCAAATATACATAATTATATAATAGAATGTACATAATTGAATAAAGACTGTCGTGTTAAACTCCCCACACAACTTAATAAAACGACATTATTTTGGACAAGGCAAACCTTTGTACACGATATAACGATTAGTTAGTTTTGGACTTAAGTCCACCTTGAAAGGTGGACCAAATCCATGATCAGACGTTATGCCATGGAACCGTGTTCACCATTCATGGTGAACACCACGGTTCCAACGGTGTTAGTGCACCGTTATCTTCTTTTTTTTTTTTTTTTTTTTTTTTCTTTTAATTAATTACGTGACTGCCTACACATTCACTTTGGAACCATGAGATTATGAATTTTCTGTTATGAGATTATGAATTTTCTGTTATGAGATTATGAATTTTCTGTTATGCGATTATGAATTTTCTGTTATGAGATTATGAATTTTCATTACATTCATAATTTCGGAGTTCCGGACATTCATAAATTATGAATTCATGCATGCACATTCACTTTGGAACCATGCCTACATATTCCCGTCCGAAATCACGGACATTCATAAATTATGAATCCATGCCTGCACATTCACTTTGGAACCATGCCTACACATTCACTTTGGAACCATGAGATTATGAATTTTCTGTTGTGAGATTATGAATTTTCTGTTATGCGATTATGAATTTTCTGTTATGAGATTATGAATTTTCAAATTCATAATCTCATAACAGAAAATTCATAATTTGATCAGTAACGCGCCGTTAACTCCACATCCGCGATTTTTTTTTTTTTTTTTGCCTAAAAATGACGTCGTTTTGACTTGTGTTCACCATTCTCGGTGAACACGATTCCACGGCATAATTTGCGATCCATGATGTGGTGGACCATGGACCATAGTCCACCCAATAATTTGCCATAATATTGGGGCAAGGACAAAATCTGCTAACTGATAGGCCCAAATCAGCGGTTCAATATCCGGTCCACCATAAACCGTAAGGCAACCCATCCTCTGGTTCTCCTTCCGTTCCCCTCCGGCAGCTTGACGGCGAAGAATGGGGTTTCAGATGCTGAGAAACCCGCTTTGCAGCTATTGCGCTTTCAGCTCCAGAAATACCTTCAATTTCCTCCCAAAATCACAATCCCTTCCTCGCTTCTCCGGTGCTTACTTCTTCTTCTTCGTCTTTTTATTTTTTCTTCTATTACTGAAAATAAGCTAAAGTGAAGGTGAGGTGATTATGATTATGAACCTGATTCCGTTTGGTTTCATGGATATTTGGTCAGCGAAATGGACGGGAACAAAGGCTCAAATGCATCAGGGCTTTGCTTCTGCAACCTCCGCCAAGGGCCAGAAGAAGTAATTTCACGTTTTATATGAAAAAAGATTAAAACTTTAAACAATATTCTACTCTAGAGAGTTTGTATTTCAATTTCAAAGATATGAGCCTTTTCTTTTTTATTTTATTGGTCTTTTTTTAGGAAAAGGAGACTAGATGAAATTTGCCTCGAGAGATATCAACAGTATAGCCGAACATTTATACAATCCTGGATTCTACAAGGTAGGTATTCAATAGTATTCACTATTCAGTTGATGATGCCATGTTATTGGGTGACTCGAGTGGTCCTTTGCTGGTTAGGATCAGAAGACGGGTTTACCGGCACACACCCTCGGTAGTGGCTGCTGGTTTCCCTCGTCACCCCAAAAGAAAAAAAGAAAAAAAAGAAGTTTGATGCTTGAATATGATTTTGGAAACTTCAATTGCGAGGTTTATGCTTGGAGTTTGTTGTTTGATGGTATGAAAAGTAAAATAGTTGCAATGTGGAAGAGAAAATAATTTGAGGTTTTTCCCATCATCGTGCAGGCAAAGTGCTTGTGGATGGAAAAATTGTGACCAAAGCGGGAACCCCTATCCCGGAAAAAGCTACCGTGGAGATCATAGCTGAAATTCCAAAATATGTATGTAGGTGAATATTTACTATTTTCATCTTCGTTGTTCATAAACACGCCTCTTTGCATTGGGTGGGATACACGAAATTTGGTTCGAGGAGTCCATTTACGTGTTAGTGTAGTAATCCCTCGTGATATTGATCTGTGCAATGAATGTCCAGCGAAATAGTTTTCCATTCTAGCTTTAAAATGCTTTTTCATTTGATGTGTTTTACATTTACAAATTTTATCTTTGAGCTTATAATTGTTTTGTTTTTTACTAGTTTGACCATGTAGATAGTAAAGCTCTATCAAATGGACAATCATCTACCTTTTAAAGTTAAAACCTTTTAAAAAAATAAATAAATATGTTTCGTAATATGAAAATTATATACGTATGACATATATGTAGTAGACCTTGCTACACTCGTCACTTTTTCTGGCTTTACAGAGGTGGACACAAATTGGAGGCTGCAATTGAGCAACTGGGAGTCGATGTTGTTGGTAAGGTAGCTCTAGACTCGGGCTTGTCAACTGGAGGATTTACGGATTGTTTACTTCAGAATGGTGCTGCTTTTGTTTATGGAGTTGATGTAGGATATGGACAGGTATTAAATAACTTGTAGCTTGACGAAATATGTAAATAGTCCGTTCTACGGAGTTGTGTAATCTGGATATACAAGCTACTAAACGGAACTTCTTTCTGCTCAGGTTGCTGACAAAATCCGTCGAGATGAACGTGTAAGTGTTATAGAGAGGACAAACTTGAGATACCTTTCTGAACTCCCGCAAAAGGTTGATTTGGTGACTTTGGACCTGTCCTTTATTTCGATACTTCTGGTAAGGTTTCTTGGAGTTTACATTCCTTACGAATTTGAATTATTCTTCGTAACTAGGTCTAGTATATGAAAAATGAGCCGTTTTGCCCAACTGAATTGGTGGACTAGCTAGATCGCGCCCTATGGGTTTCTTTTCGTTCATCGTAATAACAGTATTTACTACTTCGGTAATTTTGAGTTCATTTATTTCTGTTTGCTGCACCAGGTCATGCCCGCTGTGGTCAATTTGATGAAGGAAGAAGCTACACTAGTTACGTTGATTAAGCCTCAGTTTGAGGCTCGGAGATCCCAAGTAAGCAACGCTTGCCAATGCATCAAAACTTGAAATTGGATTATGGGCACAACGTCCATTCATTTAATTCTTGCAAAAACCTAACTGGCTCCCAAACTCTAGACATTCTGCATTAATAATTTTGTAAAGAATGCATTTTTACAAATCTTATAGAGAAATTCATCTAAATGACTAAACGTGTTCATGTGCTGTATAGACTTCGAATGTCCATCATGGGAAATTTTTAACTTAAATTCAAGTTTGAAACGCTAACTGAAACAGTTATTATGATTATTGAATGCTGAATTGACTGAACTTGGCTAAATATAATTCTTAAGAGTCCACATTGATAAAATAAGAGAGAATATATGGTTTAGACTAGCTAATTGGTTGGATTTAATCTTTTAGTGTGGTTTGATCCATGTGCATTATAGCCCAGTTGAGTGACCTGGCCCAATCTTAGTTTATAACAATAATAATTTTAAATAACCATCTCAATCAAGTTACGAAGTATAATATTAGCTTGTTCATTGTTGAAATTTTCAGTAACGTGCTCAACATTAGCTAAACTCATATCCATTGTATTGCTCAACCAAGTTTTCAACGTTTAAATAATAGTGCTTATAGTCGATGTATGCACATACTCATCGAGTCATCGATGACTTGTTTGGCTGCTTGTGCAATTTAACGTTCTGTTGAATTGTGAACTCAAAAGCGTTTTGGTCAATTGCAGGTTGGGGGCGGTGGAATAGTGAGGGATCCATTGGTCCATCAAGAGGTAAGCATTTGCCTGCTTTAAATACTCACCTGAATACTATGAGTTGTAATCCCATTATTTCTCTATCATTTAGTGTGAAAAGGAAGCACTGAAAAATGTTAGATAAGCGATGCCCTTGAATGGGTTTAGGGTGTAGATTAGTGGTAATAGACCCGGGGTTGAATCCCATTACCCCGCCCCCTGTGAAATGTAGCAAAAGAAAAACTGATGCTCTTGAATAGGTAATTGAGAAGATCGTAAATGGCGTGCAAACTTATGGCTTCCAATGCAAAGGCTGGATTGAATCTCCACTGAAAGGGGCTGAAGGAAATACAGAATTTCTGGCATGCTTCCACCGAGCAGTCGTGAAAAATGGAGGCCAATCAGGGGAAGAGTAACTCGATTTAAAGAGTAGAGAGGACTTTCTCAGCAGCATCCTTTTGTATCCCAGTTCTGGTAGGATAGAATACAGTAGCATACTGTTTCAACCAACTGCAGAGATTCATAGTGCCTTTTTCGGTTTTATCATTAGTTTTTAATGTTTGTAAAATCTTGTATTTTACAGAAAAAAACAAGTCTGGGTCTTCAATATTGAGATTAGAGTGTGGTTTTGAATACAAGGTTGCCTATGGTCTCCATCCTAGTAGCCTTCAATTAACAGAGTTATAAGAAGAAAATCTAGAAACTATAATGTATTTGCAAGAGGTAATTGAAGCATGATTCATCCCAACTAAAAGTCTAAGTTGATAGTTGTATTGCACATTTATGTTTATATCTTATATGTTAAACACGTCCCTTCACGGACCACACCACATGTGATTCATCTCAACTAAAAATCTAAGTTGATAGTTGAATTACACATTTATGTTTATACATTATATGCTCAACATGTTCCCTTGATTAGTGACTAGTGACTACCCAATCATGAGAGGGGATTATGATATGATAATCAACCCATTACAACATGCCATGTGTTTGGTGGGATGTTTACTTTATCATTTTCTTTTACTAAGCTATGGAGAGAATAAGGCAACAGAAGAGAAGATATACACTAGACAGCAAAGAGAGAAGGGAGATGTGAACAAAGTGGGGGCAAATATTCATACTAAATTATGAACATAAATTCGGTGCATATTAAAGGGATCACAGTATTAGCTTTTACAACAGACTAGAAATTAACAAGGCTAGCTTTTCAGTATTAAAGTTGCTCACAGTGTTCAAATTAAGCAAACTGGGAGTGGGAGGGTTAAAGACTAAGCAGCTAGGAGGATAATCAAGTTCAGCCATCTCTACTGATTAGTGCAGGTAAGCAGCCTGGTAATGGTAGCCATTTCCAAAGAAGTTGCCATGCCCAGGAAGACCGTAAGCTGGAGTACCCAGAAATGATGGAGCGTGGGTGTCAGTTGGTCCAGTGTAAGCGTATGGGGGTCTGTCATACACATATTGCGGGTATCTGTCAGTCATTCTGGGGTAGATGTTCATGTTCTTGTCAGTGGCAATGTTAGTGGCTCGGGGCCCATTTACAAAACCATTAGCACGGGGTCTTTTGGGTTGTGGTTTTGCGACTTCTGTTCCTCTTTTACTGTCTGCCTTTGCTTTCTCCAGGTGGTGAACTCGTTTTTGGAGTGGATCCACGGGATACTGCTCATCAAGCTTATGGTCCTCAATGCATTTAATAACAGCCTTCAGTGCATTAAGCTCCTTCTCATTTATAATATCATTCTGGAAAGTAAAAGAACAGTTCATTGATTGAGATTTGAGAATAGGAATAATAAAAAACTGATGAAACATCATTTGTGGGACTTATCCAAAATTAATCAGATCTACTAGGTTATTTATTGGTGGAGTTTCCAAGTTCAGTGGGGTCAAATCACCCTTCTTGCTCCAAGGAGCCATTATTATGTAAATTTGTGTCATACCAGTTACCACATGCCTCAATACCTGCCCCACCCCACTATCAAAAATATAAAAATAAAAATAACCCAACTTCACCATGAAAGATATGTATGCATGGCAACCTACACTATATTTGATTTGACTATTATTATTATTATTATTATTATTGTTATTATTGTCAATTGATTTCATCCCAATCCTGAAATAACGAGGCATGAGGAGCAAACCTGTGAATTGGATGTATTTCCAGATTTGCTAGGAGAAGCCTTGCTTGCCTCATTCAAATAAGATTTCAGTAGAGAAACAGGTGGAAACTGCTCTGTCAGCTCAAAGGCAAAAGCCAGATTAACAGCATCTATATGCCTTCCATTATTAACCAACACATTAATAACACCTGTAAAGTTAGAGCATTAAACAATTTAGTATCACATAAATATTGTCAAACTCCAGATCAAAGTGACTTGAGCAGTTGAGCAATCTAGCTTCCCAACAATCAAAAGTAAATAAGAATGGATCACCCCTCAAGAAAGTCACAGAACAATAAATACTGTCAAGGAATCAGTCAATCATATTGTCAAGACGAACCTGGCATTTTATCAGACAATCCAAGGGAACGGCATAAATCAGCTGTTTGACGTCGACGAGAAACCATAGGTATCAATTTGATTAAACCCTCCTGGTCAAAATCTGAGTTAATACCAAAAGTATCAACAAGCTGTAAGAACGCATGAGCCTCCAAGGAGTTCCCATGATTTGCATCAGCATCAAGTTCATCTAACTTTGGTTTCCACTCTTCAGCTATAGCTTTTGCTCGGCCCTTCACATTTTCTAGGATGGAACTAAGAACAGACCCCATTTTCACATTAGTCAATAACATGTTAAGGCACTCCATCAGCATTATACATGTTCGACGAATTCCTAGAAGGTTTGCATCTTTTTTAGCTTCCAAATTTGACATTTCTAAATTGTAGAAACCCTTTAGTGAATCCAAAATCAGAGAGGCAGGATCAGCTGCTGCTGTTAAAGCAAGTGGAATCTCCTCCCTTATAGCAGCAAGGTTCTTACGGTTGTCTGATATAAATTTGTGTAGGCCATCTGAATCCATCTCTTTGCATAGCTTAACAAGCTCAGGATAAGACTTGACCTCCACATTTCCAGTCTCATAAAGTTTCCCATAATCCCCTACGTTAAGCACTGTGGTCGTGGCATCAAGAGACTTCTCTTCCACAACACATGAGTCAACTTGGTCTTCAAAATTAACAGTAGGCCCTGCAGAAAATGGGTTTCGATGTTTATCCAGAGCAATGGAGATAGCAGAAACTGCAGCATCTCTTTTCTCTTGGAGCCTTACAAGAGAAGCTTGCTCTTTAGCCACAACAGCTGCTTCACGATTCTCCAATGTCTCTTTGGCTTTTACAATTTTGGATTCAAACTCCTTTTCTTGGTCTTCCAATTCAGTGAAACGCCTCTTCAAAGACTTTTCAAGCCCATGAAAATGCTCTTCAAGTTGCTTCCATTTCATGTTAAGAGTAACTGCACGATGACTCTCAAGCTCAGCAAATGCTTTCTGCAGCTGCTGTATCTTAGAGGTAGTGGAATCCATGAGCGTCACAACTGACTGGGAATCCTCCATGGCAGATAAGTGCCGGACAAACTACAGATAAACAGCTCAATTAATATGGAACATAACAAGAGATGAGAACCACATTGATGCATTAAGGGAAGTTCCCCAACTAAATGCAACTTCCAAAATCATTTTCTAAAAAAACCCATCCATGCCTCTCCCTCTCATATTTTTGCACACTTTAATCTCTTTCAATGAAGTGCATGCACAAGTGATGATAAATACGGAATGATAAACATGCCATCAAGTACTTGACAAAGTGAAAACACTAAAAATACTTCAAAATCAGAATCATGTTACAGAATATGTTCATCTAGCATCATAGATTTAGAGTAAATATCATTCATTAATGATGTTTTATAATTGACATATAATATAATCTTGCTTTTACTTACCGAACCTCCTACTACTCTCTTCTGATAGTAGTCAAGGATCAAGTAAGACTTTCCATCAGGAAATATGCACCAACCACCAATGTTCAAAATAATCAATACAAAATAAATGGAAAATCAGGCAAAAATTCAAGGCATGAGCTAGGATAAAGCAGATAAAGGATGTACAGCTACAAGATATCCCTAGAACAACGCACAAAATCCTCACCGGAAAACTGCTACTCACCTTATATGGACACTCAGATCAGCAAATAAGCTGAAAAAACACACATATATATAATCAATACAAAGTAGAAAGGCTCAGACCAAGCTAATTAACACCATAACCACCTCAAATGAGCATTTCAAAGCACAAAATGGAAAATATCACAAAAAGCGAAGATGTTTAGGTTTTGAAAAAAGGAGGCTTGATCTAGAATGAGAGCGAGATAGAACGAGCAATAGAGCAAAATGAGAGAGCGGAGAGGTAAAGCTTACTGGATCGGAGGCTGACGGCGGAGGAAGATGAGTTGACGGCGGCGAAATTCAGCGGATAATCAGACCATTTTGAGTGCGAGGGTTTGATAGAACTGCGACGCTACGAATCCCTAGAGAGAGAGAGAGGAAAGAGGAAAGTAAAGTGGTGTGCTATTTATGACAGCTCTCCGACACGCACATTCGGACAGGAAGGCAGCCACACTATCTCACTTTACTTCCTATTGGCTTTGCAGCCAAAATAAATAAATAATACCGAGTAATAATAATAGTCCCGAAAAGAGTGATCAAATAAATAAATAAAAGTCCCGAAAAGAGTGACCAAATAAATAAATAAATATGATAACGTGACGAATATCATTAACAAGTGTAAGTTGTGAATTCGAAAAGATTGGGATGTTTGGGTTGTATATGCATTTCGAGATCATAATAGAGTGACAGATTGGTTGGCTAAGAAAGCTCTTGAGTACCTTCAGGGTTTAAGAATTATGACTTAACGGAGGTTGAGATCCTTAGGCTTATAAACGATGATTTTATGGGTGTGCTTCCACCTCTTGTAGTCAAGATAAATACTTAGTCGGAGTTCCCCTCCATATGAATAAAAAATAAATAAAAGATAAAGATAAAGTATAATTTTTGGACCAGAATGTAATAAATTTGCTATCATCGCATGCAAGATAGGATGACCCTTTGATTTTATTAATTTTATAATTATGTCTAATAGATTTTTAATATTTTAAGAATACACTAGTATAAATAGTAATTTTTTATATTATATACGAAATTTGAATATTGACGTTTATATTGTTATATCACTCTTTTTTTTTTTATACTCGGGTTTTCACTGTTGGACTTCGTGACTAATTCTCTCGTTGGATTGTAGACATCTCTTTTAGGTGGACAATTAGCATGTAAATTTAAGTCTACTCCACATACTCAAAGCCAAAGATCGAACCATTGACATATGAAGATTTTACAATATCAAAAAGATATCATAATTATCATTGTAAGTAAAAAAAAAAAAAAGTGTTGCCATTTCTGTAATAGTTATCATATTATATATATATATATATATATATATATATATATATATATATATATATATATATATATATAGAGAGAGAGAGAGAGAGAGAGAGAGAGAGGAAAAAGTTTAAATGCGACAGGGGCTTTAGGTGCGGTCATATCAGCATCGTCCATTATAATTAATCTAACGGGCAACGGCTAATTTCTGAAGATTTAAAGATTTAAGCGTGTCTTGGTAAGTGGAGGGTGTTATGGTAATTATAGTGGTCATTTATATCGGTCGCTTAATAGAATATACCAAAAGTGTTAACAAAAGACACCAATAGTGTTAGGAAAAAATACAACAATGAAATGCACAAATACACCAAAAAAAAAACACACAACACACCCAAAAAATACACCACATAACTCACCACCCCAATGGTGTATTTCCGACCACTTTGTGGTGCTTTTATTTATACCTAACGGTGCGTTCTGGTGATGCGTATCTAATTTGTGCATGTTTTTTTTTGTGTGTGCATTTTCTAACATGGATGGTATATATTTGTATAACTATTAGTGCGCCCGCACTGACCGCACAGGAAGCTGCGGGCGCAGCTGAACTTGGCACCAACACAAATCATCAAATACATCACAGTAAGGTTAATAATGCACCAATAACGAACATAAAACACACAACACTATGATTTGATCTATTTTGGTGCCCAATGATGACTTTAACCTTGCAATTCGCGTAGTGTGAGAACGTGCATGAAAATATAGGAGAAGCCTTGATGAATGTGATTCATTGGATTTATCTAATCTAGTGGCATGTAATTGACCGCACCACCGCACCTAAAGCCCCTGCCGCACTAGAACCTTCCTCTATATATATATATATATATATATATATATATATATATATATATATATATATATATATATATATATATATATATATATATATATATATATATATATATATATATATATATATACACATAAACTCTTAACTGAATACACATAAACTCTTAACTAAATACACAATGGGGTTTTGACGTTTGAACGGACAGAGTGACGTCAGCAACTGAAACACACACGTTTTGTGCATGGGTGCACATTGCTATATGCGCCGTGATACACGATATAAATTGCAGAAACATTTTCACAATAATAATATCCCTTATTTAATTTGAATAAAACCAATTTTATTATTTAGTTTATTTTAAATATTAAAATTTTGCTCTATGTCTTTTATGGCATACTCTAAATTAAGTTGAATACTTTATTGTTTTGAAAAGAAGTGAAATTTGAATACTTGATTCTCGTATTATACAGTCACAAGTTATATTATTAAGCAACTAAACACGATTGAGTCATTTCGAAAGCTAAAAAATTTCACCTGCATTTTTCATTAAAATCCGTTGCAATTGTAATTTTCAAGTCTCAAGTATGTTGATGCAAACCCTTAGCAAGCGAGCCACCGATTATGTTTTATTCCTTATAGATATGGACGAACTAGATGTTCCATTCACAATACAACATTCATTAACATTCCTCCTACTAGGGATGGCAATTTCAATCCGCTCCACGTATATCCATGTAAATCCACCTCGCATGCATCGGATTTTTTTGACTAATGATTGGTGATGGGTCTTAAAAAGGTAAACTCGTCGTGGGTCGGGTTGGATTCGGATTCTATGTACAAAACCCGCCTAAAACTCCACCCGACCCACCATGTGTGTGTGCATATATATAATAGTAAAATAAGTATTAGTATGTAGTTATTTATATAACTTCGTGTATCTTTTTAATATTTTTATGGGAAAATGGCGAGTTTGGTCCCTGAGTTATAATGGTAGTGTTGACTCAGTCCCTGAGTTATGACCGTATTCATTTTAGTCCCTCAGTTATGAGCAAAGTGACGCATTTGGTCACTGACTGTTAAAATTGACGGGAAAACTAAAAAATATTTAAAATTTTAGGGGTAAAGTAGGAAATTCACATTTTATTCACTTTCTTATATTGAAATCACTTTTGCAACATTATTTTTAACTTCCTAGCATTCTATTTCAAGGTTCTTCAATTCCAAAGCAATTCAATAATCTTCGGCAATTTATATCCTACACCACAGCGCACGTTGCATTGTGCGCCCAGATGCAAAACGATGTCGTTTCAATTTTATTTTTTATTTTTTTGAAATTTCCCGCCCCAGTGTTTGGCAGTTAATTTTTCTTTAAAAAAAACCCATGTTCAAAAATGTACATAATGTTATACATGAATGTACATAATTGTATACATGAATGTACATAATTGTATAACAAAATATACATACTGTTTTTTAAAAGATAATACACATAATCTAACATAATACATAATAAACATAAATTTTTAACCTAATACACATCAACTCTTAACATAATACACAAAAATTTCCTGATTCGAATGTACATAATTGTATAAAAAAAGTGTACATAATTGTATAAAAAATATACATAATTATATGAACAAATGTACATAATTGTATGAACAAATATACGTAATCGTATGAACAAATATACATAATCACAGCAACTTCCTACCGCGCCTCCCAAAACGACGTCGTTTTGGGAGGCGCGCCGTGGTGTAGGGTATAACGATTGATAATCTTCGTATGACTTGTTAGTAACCTGAGTCTTGTATAAGCTAAGGAACCTGTGACTCAGTACAAACAAGAGAACACTTGGTCATTGTCTTCAAGCATGTAAAGCACACCATCTTAAAAGTTTCTGATTTCCCTTACTAAATATAATGGTAATCAAACCATAACTTTTGAAATACAAGAAGATATCAAATTTCTCAAGGGAGTAACTTGAGATTTTTAGTACGTAAAATTCTTTGGTAAGCTTTGCAGTAACTTAATCAAGAATCGTATATCCTAACAATATATGAAAATTATATTATATATATATACCCATCACCTCCCATGTCTTCTTAAAACCAGAGTAATGAATGAGGAACCTAAGGCTCAGTTATGAAAATTCTAAAACTTTTGTAACTTCTAAAAACGTTTTTTGACTATTGCATATGAAAAAATTTTACATACTAAAAATCTCAAGTTATTCCGTTGGTGAATTTCTCATAAAAGCAACCTGACAAATTTGACATCATTTTGTATCTCAAAAGTTATGGTTTGATTATCTTTGTTGCTTAGTAAAGAAAATTGAAAATTGATAGGATAGTGTGTTTCACACGTTTGAAGACAGTTATCAAGTGTTTCTTTGTTTGTGCTAAGTCTTAAATTTGTTATACAAGAGTCAGGTTCCTAACAACTAACAAGTCATACTAAAGTTATTGAAATGCTTTTAGAATTGAACAATCTTGAAATAAGAGGCTAAGAAGTGAAAAATAATGTTGTGAAAGTGATTTTGATATAAGGAGAATAAAATGTGAATTTTCTACTTTACCCCTCAAATTTTAAATATTTTTAACTTTTTCTGTTAGTTTTAACGGTCGGGGACCAAATGTGCCACTTCGTTCATAACTGAGGGACTGAAAATGAATACGGTCATAACTCAGGGACTGAGTCAGAACTTGGGTATAACTCAGGGACCAAAGATGCAATTTTTCCTATTTTTATATAAAAACTACTATTATTGTATGTTTTAGTATCACTAATGAATTTTATTATTTTATTATGTATAAGTAATTTAAATGTTATTTTTTGAAAAAAATAATAAGATGATAAGTGATGAGTACCTATAGTGGGCACCTGCACTCGGTGGGAATGAGGGTGGGTAGAGAAAATATAAGGTGGGTCAGGTGCAGTCGTTATATCGTGCACCAGAGTGCACAATGCATTGTGCACCCCGCCCTACCCAAAACGACATCGTTTTGGTGCATTGTCAAAAAAAAAAAAAAATCATATGTTTCGAATGCACATAAACTCATAACAGACTACACAAAAACATATAACTGAATTCACATAATCTAACATGATACATAATACATAGAAACTCTTAACTGAATACACATAAATTCTTAACTGAATACACAGAACTCTTAACTAAATACACAGCAACTCTTATCTGAATACACAGAAACTCGATACATAATAGTGTAATACACAGAAACTCTTAACTGAATACACATAAACTCTTAACCGAATACACAGAAACTCTTAATTAAATACAGAGAAACTCTTAACTGAATACACAAAAACTCTTAACTGAATACACAAACTCTTAACTGAATACACAGAAACTCTTAACTGAATACACATAATGGAATTTTGACCGTTTGGACGGACAGAGTCAGCAATTGAAACGCGCGCGTTTTGTGTCTGGGTACACATTGCTATGTGCGCCGTAATGCACGATATAAATTAACAAATCAGGTGATGGATGTAACCCACCCCAACCCATTGTCATCCCTACCTCTTACAAATTCACTTGCAACCCTTGGGGTATGCCAATCCTTCTTAACAAGTTCACCATCACAACAAAATCAAACATAACAATACAAATATTCGAATATGATTTCATGTAAATCTATATTTACATTTTCCCAGCAGTAAATCATTAAAAACAAAACCAAATATTTGGTGTAAAAGATTTAGTTGAGAGTAATTGATGTGGTAAATTCTACCAGATATATATCTCTACATCTCTATCTCTACAATCTACAAATCTAATAAGAGCGAATAATGTTAGGCCCTTAACTGGAACAAAAAAAATGTCGGTACTAATTGTTTCTTAAAATGAATGGTTCATATTATTTTGATTTTAGTATCTTTTAATGATTTTCCTTATTTACCCTCTATTATATTATTTTCTTCCCTTAAATAACCCTAAATTCCGTTAGTTTAAACTTTAGTAACGGAATATTCCGTTAACTATTTATTATTCTTAACATACTCTTAATTTATATAAGGTCTTAGGTTCGAACCCCATCCCAAGTATAATTGACATAATTGTTAAACATATATTCCGTTAACTATTTATTATTCTTAACATACTCTTAATTTATATAAATTTTTAGGTTCGAACCTCATCCCAAGTATAATTGACATAATTGTTAAACATATATTATGAATATGTTAAAATGTATTAAAAAAATATATAATATAAAATTTAACATAAACTTTGGTCAAATAATTAGCTCGACTAAATACATAGCATTTAAAGTTGAGCATCAAATATTATAAATCAGGAACTACTTTAAAATTATTTGATTTTCTTGAATTTTTTTATTAAAAAAAAAAACAAATTTATGTTAAGTTTTTTTTTTTTTTTTTTTAAATTGATCTTCTTCTGATTATTTAGAACAAAACTTAATATTTCAATTATGCTTTTGCATTATTGGAATGATTTAGGCCATTATGGTATTAATATTTTTTTTGTATTTTTTTATAATGGTACAATTGTACATTACATTACTAATATTATACTATTATTTTTTTTATCGAACAATGTTCTTACATCATTGTCAGACCTGCGCGGCCTAACTACAAAGTTGTTGATCAAATATAATTTCATTAGTTATATTATCTTTATTTTCTACAATTCAAAGATTCCTTACCTTCAAATTTATTAATTTATTATATTTGCTACATTGTTCATTGTCTTCTATTTTACATTATCTTGTAATTAAATATCAAAGTTATAATACAAAACATGTTTTATATATATATATATATATATATATATATATATATATATATTTATTTATTTATTTATTTACCAAGTATTTTATACAAATATAATAAATATTAATATTTCGTTCAATACTTTCACATGATAACCTGGGACACACATCTCACAACACATGAAACATGTAGGAAAAAAACTACCACTACTAAATATCAATAGGTGTTTGTACGCTAAAGAGTTCATATTACAACTAAAATTTCAGTCATATACACAGCAAGGTAAATCTAAAACTTCCTACACCATAATCTCATTGCATGATGAATCCATCTATGCTGCTACCAGTAACCTAATTGCATATGAAACACTACCAATAAAGAAAAAAAAAAGGACATGTACTGAAGATGAAAACAATAACAATGCTACCTGAAAAAGAATTAAGAAGAATTAGAGAAATTTAAATCAAAACTAGTATTTATTTAGACTATCGCTTTAAAACTAAATATTTAGACTAACGTTATTACAAAGTTGCAAACATTTATTTTAGTGACAATTATAATCAATCTCTCATATATTATCTTGCATTTATATACTTTAAATTACCGATTTAAATAAACAAATTCAACATTTATTTACATATGCATGAAAATCTCCTATATAATATTGCATTGATATACTTTGGAATACTTATTTAAAAATAATTATTGGACATTATCTCATTCGCACAAAGTGCGTAAAAGAACTAGTATATTCATATGTGTTATTATGCAGTGAGTATTTGAGAATATAATGGCTCGGGTTATCACAATTGAAGGACAGAAGTTTCGGAGCCTGTAAGTATTCTAGAGAGAGAAGCAAAAGTCCATTTTGCACGGATTTTATAGGAAATTGGAGGGAACACATGCCGGAAGGTCAGCATGTGCCACACGTGTCTCCCATACACTCGACGGTCTCGGAGGCTAGGGAAAAGCGTCCACCTGTGAAGGAATATATGATTAGCCAATGATTATCAGGCTCGGTCGGGACGTTGTTATTGTTCATCGAACTAAGTTCGTGAGCTCGGGTCCATCAACTGAGCATGCAAATTGGGACCGAGCTCCCAAGGATATTGGTAGAAGCTCATTAAGTCAATAAAAGGCTTAACCAACCGGTCGTGACGGACAAGTACTCTATTCGGGTCGGATCAGATTGACAAAGAGCTCCATCTTTGCGAGGAGTCGGATTCGATCAGGTACTTAATACAACATGATCGATAGTCCTGGATATATTTCCTATCAGTAATATTGCCCAGTCAACACTTCACATTCTTGAGACGTGAAAGCAGGGTCGAAAGCTCAAGAATTTCCATTCTCGTTTGACTTGTTTATTCCAGACCTTCATCAAAGAAAGTCACGTCTTCACACTAGCTTTTGAAACCGTAACAGCGGGGCCGCCAATCAGAAAGTCAAGCCTTCAGTCTTCTCTCTCTCTCTCTCTCTCTCTCTCTCTCTCTCTCTCTCTATATGAGTGAGCCAAAAACATTCAAAAGCAGTATAAAAACAGCCGCCCAATGATGTCTCCAGCTTCTCAGTCGGCTTTCAACGCTCTCATTTCCATACCCTTCAATTCCATTCCAACACCCTGTAAGTATATTCTGCTTTCAACAAAGACTAGCTCAAGTAGTTCTTGGAAGGGGAATGTTGATCAGAATTCAGAAAGGTCTATAGTTTGCTATTTGAAGTAGAATTTGGTTGTTTGGTGTGTGAATTCAGGAACCCTTTTCTATATTTCTATATAAAAATTGAAACTTTGTGCTTGTGGTGGAAGTAGAATTTGATTGTTTCTTCAAGTATGTCTCCTTTCCTTCTTTCCCATAATTAATTATTGAGTCTCTGTGATTTATCCTTCCACAGTCCTGTCAGGGCGGTGTGTGGGGCTTTTGGAGCGAGGGATTTCGCCTTTGTGGCAAGAAAACTCTTGTGTCGTTACTGAGTCTCCGTGATTTATCCTTCCACAGTCCTCTCAGGCCGGTGTGTGGGGCCCTTGGAGCGAGGGATTTCGCCTTTGTGGCAAGAAAACTCTTGTGTTGTTACTGAGTCTCCGTGATTTATCCTTCCACAGTCCTGTCAGGCCGGTGTGTGGGGCCCTTGGGGCGAGGGATTTGGCCTTTTGCGGGCGAGAAAGCTCTTGTGTTTGTAGGTCCATCTGGTTTATTATTGTCCTGCAGTGAAGGATGGTGTTGAATTGCAACATATCTCTATCCACATTGTCTGGCATTTTCATCTGTTTCATTCTATTGAACAGCAGCCTTTGTGGTTCTGTTCAGAGTGACATTGATTGCCTACAAGCCATCAAGAATTCCTTGAAAGATCCTCTCAAGTACTTGAGCTCTTCGTGGGATTTCAACAATAAAACCGAAGGTTTCATCTGCAAATTCACCGGGATTGATTGCTGGCATCCCGATGAAAACAAAGTGTTAAACATCAAGCTTATAGACATGGGGCTCAAGGGGGAGTTCCCCCTTGGTCTAGCGAATTGCACATCTTTGACAGGGTTGGATCTTTCTAGCAACGATATCTATGGACCTATCCCGCCTAACATCTCCAATGTCATCAAGTATGTGACCACGCTTGATCTCTCCTCCAACCAGCTCTCGGGAGAGATCCCGAGGGGTCTTGCAAATTGTTCCTACCTGAATGTCCTTAGGCTTGACAGCAACCAGCTAACAGGTCAAATCCCTCGAGAACTTGGCCAGCTCAATCGAATCAAAACATTTAGTGTATCTAATAACACTCTCTTGACTGGGCCAGTTCCTCGTTTTGGAGTAAATGTCAGTATCCCTGCTGATAGCTATGCTAATACTGGACTCTGTGGAGGGCCTTTGCCTGGTTGCCAAGGCTCAAATAAACCACGCCCTCTAGTCATTGTTGGTGCAGCTGTTGCTGGGGCAACCGTTGCAGCCATAGCTATGGCTGTTGGCACATTTTACTATATGCGTAGGGTATCCAGGAAGAAGAGGAAGGAAGACGATCCCGATGGTAATAAATGGGCAAAGAGTATTAAGGATGCCAAAGCAATCAAGGTAAGATAATTAATTTACTCTTTGCACTTCATAGCCTCTTTATATTACTATTGCACCGATAAGTTTGTTGGAGTTAGTGTTACTGACTCTGTTACAATGCAGTATCTGTTCATAACTATTTTCTCAACCTACTGAAGCACAAAGAGTCAATACCGCCTCCACTGAGGCTTAAACTCACAATCTCTTATATGGGAGGGCAACTTGGTGCCACTAGACCAGAAGGTTCTTGGCAATCTAGTTATAACTTAGAGTGGTGTCAGTTGGTATAAACTGCTTAATATTCCGGGCTGTGGTATAAACTTAGATACTCGTCTTTACAGCTTTCGATGTTTGAGAAGTCTGTTTCGAAAATGAGGTTGAGTGATCTCATGAAGGCCACGAAGAACTTCCACAAGGACAACATCATTGGTTCAGGAAGAACGGGGACGTTTTACAAGGCTGTGCTTGGGAACGGGATGTCTCTCATGATTAAGAGATTGCAGAACACGCAGCACTCTGAGAAAGAATTCGTGTCCGAGATGGGTACTCTCGGGAATGTAAAGCACCCGAACTTGGTTCCTCTCTTAGGATTTTGCGTGGCTAAGAAAGAAAGGCTGTTGGTGTACAAGTACATGGAGAATGGCAGTTTGCATGATAGGCTACATTTGGTAGGTGATGGGGAGAAAGCGTTGGAATGGGCTGCGAGGCTCAAAATCAGCATCGGGGCAGCCAAAGGATTTGCGTGGCTCCACCACAACTGCAACCCGAGGATTATCCACCGAAACATTAGCTCTAAGTGTGTGTTATTGGACCCGGATTTCAACCCCAAGATATCCGATTTTGGACTTGCGAGGCTCATGAATCCAATCGACACTCACTTGAGCACGTTTGTGAATGGCGAATTCGGGGACCTGGGATATGTTGCTCCCGAATACACCCGAACTCTCGTTGCCACGCCTAAGGGAGACGTCTACAGCTTCGGGGTAGTACTACTCGAGCTGGTCACGAGCGAGAGACCAACAAACGTGAGCAGAGCTCCCGAGAGCTTCAAGGGGAGCCTGGTGGAGTGGATTTCCCAGCTCTCCATTGAATCCAGAATTCAAGATTCAATCGACAATTCCCTGCTTGGACCACGGGGCTATGACACCGAGGTTCTCCGGGTTCTTAAACTCGCTTGTCGCTGTGTGCTGCTAGCTCCCAAGGAGCGACCCACAATGTACGAAGTCTACCAGCTGTTGAGAGCCATTGGAGAGCGGTACCATTTCACAACGTACGATGAAATTCTGATGCCCATAGAGAACGGTGGCGATGTTGAGCTAGAAGAACTGATTGTCGCCCGAGAGATGGTAGAGATCCATTGAGATTCAAGAATCAAGAATCAAGAATCAAGTACTCACTATACCAGTAAGTTGACTCTTATCATATGTAATTATAGTATAATTTATCCATTTTCTGAAATAAATTCTTACAGCATCAAGGCTTCATCGCTTTAGCATTTGAATACGATAGAGTTCTATACTGAAAATTTTCTTGTCAAGAAATTGTTTTTAACATCTATCCGATTTGCATATATTCTGTGTTCCTGTTCTTGTTGCTAGTTTTAGATTTTGGCCACAAATACATAACTGAACAGACAACTTTTCCAATTTATTGCTTACAATAAAACATTTTTGTGATCTTACAGTCATGAACATTTTGCAGCAGAGATTCTCTGATCTGCTTAAGATTGAGACAGTTTAGCAATGAATTCGTTAATATTTCTATCTGAACTGCCATCTTCATCGCTAGCCTTTCGTATTGTTTCCTTCCATTTGGTAGTATTTCTTTTGATCTTCTTGCCTTGATCTCCCTCCATCACCTCTCTTAGACATCTCTCCACCTCGCCTTTTCTGACAATACCCTCATTGTCGGGGTGAGCCCTGAGCCCGGTTCCCCAGACACTGCTTACATACTTTGCGTTTGTGCTCTGATCAGTCCACACGGGAATGGCCACCATAGCCACCCCTAAGCTCAACGCCTCCAGAGTCGAGTTCCATCCACAGTGTGTCACGAAGCACCCTATTGCGTCGTGTGATAGAACATCTAGCTGTGGGCACCAGGTCACCACTAACCCCTTCTCCGCAGCAAAGTTTCTGGGAAGTTTAGCCTCTTCCGACGCCCTCACCACCCACAAGTAGGGGTAGTTGCTCGCCTTCAAACCCGAGGCTAGCTCTTCCATTTGCTCCTCCTTCACCTCGGCCATACTCCCGAAGGACACATACACCACTGATCCATCGGCCCGTTCGCTAAGCCATTTCATGCAGATATCGGTTTCTGGCTGGAACATGCTTAGACCATATGATTTGTCATTCTCCAGCCTCTTGTCAGCATACATTGAAGGTATGGTTGGGCCAATTGTCTTCAATGGCAATTGCTTTCCTGCCCATTCCACTCCCTGTTCCCCCAAAAAAATCATAAAACTTTTTAGGCCCTGTTTAGTAAATGGTTGTTAGCTGATTGGGATAATTAGAGGGTATAACTAGTTGATAACATTAGCTGATTGCAAAAGATGTTTGATAAATTAGCTTTTAGCTGATAGCTGTTTGGTATAATTTCTTTTCTCAAAAAGCTAATTGAAAAAAGCTGTTTTGAACAGCTTTTTGAATTTTAGCATTTTGGAGTTACAAAAAGCTAATTAACCAAACATTTATATTGATTTTTTAACCAAGTCAAACTATTAATAGTAGTCAAATAAGTCAACGTTATGTTGTGCAACCGTGTGCACCATGCAAGGTGCACACGGTTCTAATTCATAATTTCTATACTATAGATTCATAATTTCTATATTGTAGATTCATAATATCTGTACTGTAGATTCATAATTTCTATACAGTGAATTCATAATTTCTATACTGCAGATTCATAATATCTGTACTGTAGATTCATAATTTTTGTATTGTAGATTCATAATTTCTAAACTGTATAGTTATCAAATTATGAACATATAGTTCTGTGATTTGTGTACAAAGTTCAATAATTGGGAATATGAACATCGAAAATTATGAACATAGAGTTCTGTAATTGTGAATATAGTTCAATAATTATGAATATGAAGTTCAAAAATTATGAATATATAATTTTATAATTATGAACATATAGTTCAGTAATTATGAATATAGAACAGTGTGCACCATGTATGATGCACATGGTTGCACAACATAATTTGTCCAAAATTGACTGATAGGCTAACTATTTTACCAAACAAGGCCTTAATTTTTTTTAATTTTATTTTTTATTTTTATTTTTTGTGTGACAATGGAAACTCGCAGCCACTGCCTAAGGGTGTGCACTGGGTAAACCTCGTCTAGGTTGTCCATAGTTGATATGCTTAAACTAAGAAAGTCAATAGGCCAATCCCAGCATGACCAACTTAACTGGGGTTGACGCCTAAAACTTTTAACTGTAAAGTAACAAAGGAAGGATATTTGCAATCTTCTAAGCAAAAGTAATGAAACTACAGACCTTTTCCTCCAATTCATATATGGTATTGCAGAAGATCCAGTCTGCATTCTTGACATTAGAGAACTGATCCACAAGCATTTTCAAGAAAGCTGGATAAGACCCGAAATCAGAAATGAAAGACGGGAAATCTGCAGGCTGCAATGGTGTCACTCCAGGCAGCGATATCTCACCACTCCCTTCCATCAATGGAAGCTTAAGCTCTCCCTGGTTCACATGACAGCAGATATTCCCCACTGCACACGACATCGTGAAGAAAGCACCTCCCAGCAAACCAAACCGCTTCGCCACATCAAGAACCCAAGGCATGAAAGCGTCATAAATAACGCAATGCACTGGTGCCCCTTTGCTCTTTAGCTCGCCAATCAACTCCCCCAAGGTTCTCGACCCGACTTCCTTGTAGGCTTCCAAGTACTCCTCTTTGTTGTCTGCTGCAGCAAAGCCGCCTTGATCGTGGCCATCGGAGATGGGGTGAATGGAGATGGAAGAAGAAGCAGTGTAACTTCCTTTAAGGGTGTTGTTGAATATGAAAAGTGTTGGGGCAAGAGTGATGTTTATGCCTTTGTGTTGCAGGCGCTTGGAGAATTGGAGCATAGGGTTTATGTGACCTTGGGTTGGGAATGGAACAACCAAACAATGGAGTCTCTCTGCTCTCATTTCCTTCCCCATTTTTGAGTCTCTCTTCTCACACTCCATCTCAAACTCCTATATTGTATTCTTCTTAGACAGCTATTTATACTGTTTTAGATAACTAGACTTCTCTCCGTTAACCAATCGGGTTGCAGTTACATTAGTAGTCTACGTAGTTTCTCTCCTTCGACTTACATTTGCAGCTCACATATTAATTGTCCCGAACTGGTGGGTCACACTGGGCACACCCATGTGCAATTGATTGTCGAGAGTTAATGCTACAGTTACATTAGTAACTCGCACGTCAATTGTCCCAAATTGGTGAGTCACACTGGGTACACCCATGTGCGATTGACTCAGTTGAGAGAGTATTGGTCGAAATCGAATTCATGACCTTTGAGTACGAAAACGATGCTCAACTTACTCGACTACTCTTTTAGAGCTACTGTATTCCTTTTGTTAGTTACAGCGTGAAACATGTTGGATATGCGCATTTATATACAACACATACATACATATCTATATGAAACAAATGTTTCAAAAAAAAAAAAAAAAAACTCAACCACAAATGACAAATGACAACGCTCTTATCGTACGATCGATGAAACATCATAATATCATTCTTCCAAACATCATAATATCATATCATCATTGTCGGTAGATTAAAGAGTTTAGGATTTTTTTTAGTATTTATTTTAAATAGAAAATATAAAGCATGTTTATTGATATAATTTTTCATTGAGTAAATACTCAAAATGGTCTCTCGACTATAGCTAAATTCACAAATTGGTCTTCGACTTTCAATTTCAACCAATTAAGTCCTTAACTTTGTAATTTTGACACGATTTGGTCCTCCATCTATTTGACCATTTGTTGACTGTGATTTTTGAGGATATATATATATAATTTCATGGTCCACCGTCGATTTTTTAAGGTTCCGGTTGCATTTCCAGACCGCACTGTTACATTTGAATCCACTGTCGAAAGCAATCTACCAAATCCGGTCGTCTTTCTTCATCCTCCTTTTGGATTCACTGTAGTTGAGTTCGTACCAGAGCGAAGAAGACGGCGTGTTTCCGAACTAGTGCAACATCATCCTGGAGGCCTCCACGTGTTCCGACGAGAGCTGAAGGTTCTTCTGGAGAACGTCGATCACGGTCAACAAACGGTCAAATAGATGGAGGACCAAATCATGTCAAAATTGCAAAGTTAAGGACTTAATTGGTTGAAATTGAAAGTCGAGGACCATTTTGTAAATTTAGCTATAGTCGAGGGACCATTTTGGGTATTTACTCTTTTTCATTTTGAAAAGTTCAAACCAATTTTTTTCCTACTTTTTTAGTCAATTAGAAAAGATTTTCTTATGAAAAATAGAATTCATACCTCCTATCTATTTACTCCAACAACTACCTACATGCCTCACCCTCATCCTTACCTGCACACATTATTCAAATTATCTTAATTAAAAATTAAAATTAAAATTAATTTTTAGGTTTTGGATATACTTGATAGGTTATTAGTTCGAATATTTTTAATTAAATTATATTCAGATATAAATTAAATATAGATATTAGATGTTAAAATTTTACATATACTGGACTTTAAAGTAAAATTTATATACATTTGCTAAAACTAAACATATTCAAAATATTTATACTACATTGTAATAGAGTTAGTAGCATTCAAAAAAAAAACATATTCAAAATATTTGAAATATCGATTCCAACCAAATTACTCAAAACTTTGAATTCGTGTTATTTTATACGGATACAATAACCCAAAAAAGAAAATTTAATTTAATGAAAACTAGAAAATAGAGAATGAAAATTTGAAATAAACGGGTCTTAATTTTTAGACTATAATTATAGAACAAGTGAAACCAAAGTTAGATCAGGCGAGGAGTTTGATGTTGAGAATATATAATATATAAGGAAAAATGACACTTTTCCCCCTTTATTATATACTTATAGCACTTTTTCCCCCTAAATTATTTAAGTGGTAGTTTTTTCCCCTTGATATATTAAATGGACATATTTACCCTTAAAATAAATATTTCATTTATTTTTTTTCTCCAACAAATTATAATCACGATTTGAAAAAATAAAATACATTAAGTGTTGAATTTAGAATATTTTAAAAATAAAAAAATAAAATTTTTTAAAAGAAAGTTTGAACCAACCGTTCAAATTAGATCCAAAATCGTGAACCGACGGTTCAAAATAAAACTCAAACCGCGATTATATATATACTTATATGTAAGAGTCAATATAAATGCAGAAAAAAACATACACTGTTTGCAAATATTATAATTCTAATTTAAGCTATTGCTAGTAGTTGTTCCGATTTGAACCTCCGGTTCACGGTTCAGGATCCATTTTTTTCCAGTTCACGATTTTAATAAACGGAAACCCAAATATTGGGTTATGTTATGAATCATAACCGAAATTTTTTAATTTCATTGCTATAGTGTTTGGTTTAGTTCGAACCGAACCGTAGTCATCCTACGTATAAGCAATAATTTGTTGAAGAAGAGAAATAAATAAAATATTTATTTTAAGGGTAGAAATGTCCATTTAATATTATCAGGGGGGAAAACCGTCACTTTTATAATAATTGAGGGGGCAAATGTGAATGCATGAATAACTCAGGGGGAAAAAGTGCTATAAGCATATAACACAGCGAGAAAAAGTGCCATTTTCCCTTGAGAATATATAATATATAAATATAAATGTGTAATTTAATTATCAGTTTAGATTATAATTTGAGATGGAGCATATAGGTTATTTGGCAAACGGCTGAAAAGATAGTTGAAAGCTTAAAATGAGCTGAAAGCTGAAAAACCATAAGCTAGGAGTTGAAAACTGAAGAGCTGTTAAGCTAGATGCTATGCTTGAAAGTGTTTGGTAAAGTTAGCTTTTTGATAAGTTATAAATGTAAAAAAGACAAAAAATGACATCTTCATAAAATTTAAATTAGTTTGTTTACATATTAAATTTTAACATTTTGTCTTAAAAAAAAAAATTAACATTTTGAAATAAAATTATTAACATAATCATGATTTAACATCCCATAATGAAGTAGCAATATTATTGAGAATCTCCTTCATCTAATAATAATAATAATAATTATTATTATTATTATTATTATTATTATTATTATTTATTATTATTATTATTATTATTATTATTATTATTATTATTATTGTAGTGAAAGTTGCGGATAAAGGCGAAGAGAAAAATTTTTTAATTAGAAATGATAAAGAATATCATTTCTTTAAAATAATAAGGATAAATATAGAAAAAAAACAAAAAAAAAAAGTTAGGGAGCGACTAGCTTATTTTGAAACGCTACTTAAGAAGCTAGTGTTCTAAAATAAACTTTTATTTTAAGCTACGAGTTTATTTTGAAAACATTATCAACCAGAGCTTATAGCTTATTAGTAGCTTAAAATAAAATATAAGCTCCTAAATAAGGCTTGTCAAACAAAACAAGTTGATTCTCTATTACAACGGGAAAGGGAACGAGGATTACAAAATATGAACATTAAGATGAGTAATTAAAATATAGCTAAACACTTGCATCTGTAACAACACTATTGTAGGTGAAATATTATATCCAATGATAAGTTGTAGAAAATTATGAATGTCTGTGTTATTTAATTGGGTTTCAAATTAAATCTTGTTTAACGTAGATATTATGTCAACGCTTATAGTCACACCAAAAAAAAAAAAGTTGATAGTGATAGGGCAGCTCAGCTAAGTTGGTCAGATTATTGATTTAATAACTACAAATTTACACATTTAACTTTTAGCGGGAGTGACCTTGGGTTGAAAATGGAACAACCAAACAATGGAGTCTCTCTGCTCTCATTTCCTTCCCCATTTTTAAGTCTCTCTTCTCACACTCCATCTCAAACTCCTATATTGTATTATTGTATTCTTCTTACATAGCTATTTATACTGTTTTAGATAACTAGACTTCTTTCTGTTAACCAGTTGGGTTGCAGTTACATTACTAGCCTACGTAGTTTCTCTCCTTCGACTTTAGAGTTACATTAGCAGCTCACGTATCAATTGTCCCGAACTGGTGGGTCACACTGGGCACACCCATGTGCAATTGACTCAGCCGAGAACTAATACTACAGTTATATTAGCAACTCGCACATCAATTGTCCCAAATTGGTGGGTCACATTGGGTACACCCATGTGCGATTGACTCAGTCGAGAGAGTATTGGTAGAAATCAAATTTATGATCGTTAAGTACGAAAACGATGTTCTATTGACTCGACCACTCTTTTCAGAGCTACTGTATTCGATTTCTTAGTTACAGTGTGAAACATGTTGGATATGGGCATTTATATACAACACATACATGTCTATATGAAACAACTTTTTGAAAAATCAAAATTGAAAGCTCAACCACAAATGGCAACGCTCTTATGGCAAAACAGTGAAACATCATATCATCATTGTCGGTAGATTAAAGAGTTTATGATATTTTTTTTCAGTATTTTTAATAGAAAAAACAGAAAACATATTTATCATATAATTTTTCATTTTGAAAAGTGCAAACCAAATTTTTTATGCTTTTTTTAGTGCATTATAAAACATTTTTTTAGTCAATGACCTTATAATCTAATAGTACGAAATGATTCTCTCAAGTGGAGATCATAGTAGTTATCCAACAACTACCTACATGTCTCAAAAGTAAAATTTATATATATTTGCTCAAACTACTATTTGAAATATCAATTCAACAAAATTACTTAAAATTTTGAATTTGTATTATTTTATAAGGTTACAGCCCAAAAAAAAAATAAAAATGAATTTAATGAAAACTAAAAAACAGAGAATGAAAATTTGAAATAAATGGGTAGACTATAATTATAGAACAAGTGAAACCAAAGTTAGATGTGAAAGCTGTTTTCCTAGATCAGGCGAGGAACTTGATTCTCTATCCTAACGAGAACAAGAAAGTTGATTATCTTCTTCTCCCAAAAGGTTGAATTTCCAACTCCAAGGATCCCCCACACCTTGACTCGACAGAATATTTGGGAGGATATCACGGTGATTCAATGGCAATGTCTGTGTGCACCAGGGATAGATCTGCCTACTTTGGATATAATTCCTACACTGCCGCTGTCTTTTTTTCTCTTAAATATTACCTACTGAACCATTAAGTTAAGCCCGTATAGATAGAAAAGAAGTTGATTATATATTCCAACAGGAAAGGGCCAAAGGGGACGAGGATTACAAAGAATGAACATTAAGATGAGTAATCAAGATATAGCTAACACTTAGGGTTGTGGTTCAGCCTTTGGAAGAAGATATAGCTAACACTTGCAACTGTGACGACACTTTTGTAGGTGAAATATCATATCCACTGAGAAGTTGGAGAAAATTATGAATGTGTATGTGATCCACTATCTTATGTTTTTTAGTTTATGTGTGTCGCTATCAAAATTTATCAATCACTATCAACTTTTTTTAATGAAAAAAGTGAAGGAGAGAAATCAATAAACATTACCCAAGTATGTATATTGGATAAATTCTCCTTTATAATTCTATTTGACAAAAAATAATAATTAGGTAAATGAACGTACGATCATTCCTGCTAAGAGTTAAACTTATAAATTTGTAGTTACCAAATCAACAATTTAACCATCTTAATTGGGTTGCCCCTATCACTATCAACTTTTTTTTTTTTGTTGACTATGAATGGTGACAAATATCTATATTAAATAAGATTTGGAACCCAATAAAATAACATAAATTCCAACTTTATTGTTTAACTTAGTTTTTTTTTCTTTTCTTTTCTTTTTTAACATATAGCATTCCCCCTCCGGTAACTCTACTACTAGTCTACTTTTTTCTCTTTTTTTTTTTTTTTTTTTTTTTTTTTTTCTGAAGGAAAAAGAAAAATAACATTAATCAACCATCAAGTCCTGAAGTACAACAAAAAAAATATAAAGAGGTTCAGAATCACTCCAAACACGACTAGCAAACTGCGTAGTAGCAAAACCAGTTAAAAGGTGAGTCACTATATTAGATGTTCAATTCGTCTTACATGACAAAAACTAAAATCATGAAAACAAGAAAGTATGGATTGAATGTCTTTTAAAAATAAATCAAATGGGGAGAGATTTGAGTTGTTGAGGTTGGTAATCAAAAGTTTATCATCAATTTCCACAATAACACCGTCACATTGATTTGCCTTCAGTCAACTTAAAGCTTCACGAACAGCAAGAGCATCTGCTTCCCTAGGCTACAAAGTCCTTGATAGAATCGTAGGAAGAGTAAAAGAACACAAATTCCAGAAAAAGAATTTGATTTTAGGAGGAAGCATCAGGTTCCACATGCTAGTCCAACCATTCAACCCATTAGGTTGACACTTATCCATTAAAAATCTATAAGCACTCTTGACAGAATAATCCCCATCAATCTAACCGCTCCAAAAAATAATATATGAACAGTTGTATAAGAAAATAGGAATTTTCAAAATCAAGGACTTATCACAATCACAAAACAAATCAATCAAGGACTTATCACAATCACAAAACAAATCACTCAAGATATCAACATCTCACAATCACAAAACAAATCACTCAAGATATCAACATCCCAAGCATTCAACTCTATGTTCATAAGAGAATTAACAGTCCTCCCACCGCTCTGTCGGGCCGGGGTGTGGGGGACCCTTAGGGTTGAGGTTCAGCTTTTTGGAAGAATAAGAGAATTAACAGTGATATTATGAAGATGATCATAGCTAGGAGTCATAATGAAAGGATGAATATTATTAGGAAGCCATTGATTATGGTAGTACCTGTAAGATTTTCCCTAATAATATATATTATATATTAGGGCCTTAATTAAGTGGTGCAAGTTAACTAGGCTTATTAAGTGGTTTGGTTGGACTTAATAACTAGTAGTTGTTAGTCAACTAAACTCTGTGCCTAATATAATCCTGGATTGATGGGATACAGGATGTTGGAAGTTACGGTACTCAGACTGCTCAGTAGATACCAATACACCATTTAGGGTTCTGAGTCAGGTCTGAGGCACATCTGGACCATTAAGAGGCAACACAACAGGAACATCAACTATATGGCTACGCTTCCGCTATTATACGAGGTCAGGTTTCTCGTATATCTAACAGTACCATCCCCCACCATCCATCTAAAACCATCCTTAAGCCCTTTAGTTGCTTCCCACACACTAGGAGTCATACTACTAGTCTACTATGAAGTTAATTTTGATTCAGCCCAAATGTATACAAACCAATTGCTATACCACGGGGCAAATTATATATGGATTATGGTCCACATAGTGCTGTGTGGATCATTAAAAAAGTACATTTTTAATATACTAACAGTACATTATTTGTATACTGAATATACATTATACAAAATAATGTACTTTTAATATTTAAATAATATATATATTTTTTTTCTGAAATAAGGTACATTTTTAATATATTTTTATCAGTTTTTTTTTTTTTTGTTTTGTTTTCTTTTTTCTCCTCTTTCTTACTTGGCACACAATAAACCTCATCTATTGGGATTGCTCTTAGGCCCAAGCTTGCATTTTAATAGTTAATTGCCAAACAAGAACATAATAATGAGTTTCTCAAAAAAAAAAAAAAAAAAAGAACATAATAATGAGTCAATTAAATGGAATGGTATCACTCATTTATTATACATCAGTAAAGATGAAGAAGAGCATTTGGGTATCAACCTGAAATTTATAACTGCATATGCCCAATAATGTGCAGTAGTCAATCTTGCATTCCTTCTTCAGCCTGCATATGTTCTGAAATCTAAACAGATCATCATCCTACCTCTTAAACCTAATTTGATTCCTTGTTTTTTCCATACAATCTGCAAGTAAAATCTTCTCTATATACATCTACTTTGACAATTATTTCCAAAATCTTTTTTACATGATATATCTATAATACATACAAAAAAAAAATGGTACCTATAAAGTGTGTTGGCAGACTCATTCTCAGGCAAGCTCCTAGTTGGATAAGGGAAATTTTTTAGGGTTTTCTCGTGCTAAGAGCTATCATCAGAGGAGTTGAGCTGCGGTCTCCCGGGGAATCCTCCACCACCAGTAACAACTGGATGCAGCATGGGATTTACTGGAACTGGAAACTTATGTGCTGAACTCACTATTGTTCTCTCATTTATCATTCCGACTTCATTACACACACGATCGAGAATCACTAGGAAGTCCCTCACCACCATGAAGATTCTGAAGGGGTGTGCCTCTTCTTTGGCTGAATTCCCATGGAAGTACTCGGTTATCTCCTTGACTAGAGAAATAGCTACACTTTGTTGCGCTTGGAGCCTTATAATCTCCTCCTCTGCCATTTTCGTAAACCTGTTCATTGATTCGGAAAACTTGTGGGTGCTACTTTCGTTCAATACCTTAGCTTCATTCAGCTGTACAACCTCTGCAATGTTAGAAATCCCCTTTGAGAGCTTTAAGACATCGCTGTGGAGGACTTCTGAGTCCATGGTAGCAGCTTTCTTCACGTTTTTTAGCTCTGAACTGAGGCTGGAGACAACTTCGAGGCCAAGCCTCCGGTGCTTTGCATCATCATTTAAAGCTGTCTTTTCGTTTTGGTTTGCTGTAGCAAGACGGGCACCTTCACTTCTTATTATCTCCTGAACAACAAAATGCAAGAGAGTTGTCTTCCCATCAGCCCCCTTGACATCAACGAGCTTGAGGAGAGTATCGAGCTTGAACGCATGTGCATCTCCGCGATTTGTCCCAATATTCATGCGGTTCCCAGTCTTCAGAACGGCCTCCAGAAGCTTTAAGAACATCCTGCAGCTCCTCAACTCTTCGCATGCAGCCTTGCGAATAGGAAACAACGATTAGATTCCCGCAAGGACATCAAATCAATACTAGTGTAATACAATCATATTTACCTCAAGAGTTTCAAGTGACTTTTTGAGGTAGTTGATCTCGGTGTCAAAATTCGAAATGTAGAGCATTGCATCTATTCTTTTGAACGCAAAAGGTATGTCTAGCACTGCCTTAAGAAATTTCTCAGCCGGCCCAAGTTTGAATGGCGAATCATCTGTGTATTCTTTAAGCTTACGCTCATCCTCTTTAGATGGAGCCATTTTCATCAAGCTCTCAAGAAGTTCAGTCCCAAGGGCATCAACATTGCCTGAGTAAACGAGCACTATTTGTTATCACTTTCAACTTTCAAGTAAAATATCATACATAAACTAATGGTAACATTGAAATCACACACATTTCCTTCCATTAGTCTATATTCACCTTATCTTTTACCATTTGATATAGAAGGTAATGAATGAAATTATAACACATTAAAACAAGTCGAAGAGATATTTGACTTGCATAAGAAACAAAATCTACCAATTGAAAATTCAAGAACTCAAATTGCATACCTTCTAAAAGAGCTTCACATACTTCCTCAATGGTGACATTTAGCGCCCTCAACAAAATTGCAATGTTCTGTGACTTCTTCGGATCAAGAACCCTGTTTTCTTGGCTGGCTGAAGAAAGAGCTCGGCGTTGGGTTGTTTCCTTTGGATTTGAACTTGAATTTGGAGCATTTGCAACAAAGAGTGTCTCAATCATCTCCTCATTCACCCTGTAAACGATCCAGTTCAATATCAATTGCCAAGCATAAACATAATTTAAGTAAAACAGGGAATCTAAATTCCTAATGGCAATAAAACATCAGTAGGAGTTCCAAAGTATCATACTTAAATGAGCTTGATTTCAGTTGATCCCACACGGTTTCGCGAGCTGAACTTGCTCTAACTTTATCCCAATGCAATGGTTTCAATTTCGGTTTCAGTATCTCCTCATTCTTCTCTACACTCTCAGTAGTACAGCCTTCAACATTCTGTGCATTACACTCTGAATTAGGAGGCAACTGCATTGGAGAAATCAATGGTGGACTCTCCATTTCAATGGGTCTTAGAGTCACTAGAGCTGGGGGTTCAGATACTAGTTTTTGAGGCTTAATGCTAGGAGTCTTTGGAGTTTCCAACTGTTTACTTGGAGGAGGAGGAGGAGGAGGAGGAGGAGGAGGAGGCGGTGGAGGTGGAGGTGCACGAGCTCGAAGAGTAGTAGGGGGTACTGGTGGCGGCGGAGGGAATGGTGGAGCAAAAATTGGGATACTCTGCCGCACATAATTGCTGGCTCTCGCCGGAGATTCCGTCCCAAAGCTGTTTCTAGCCGGGGACTCCGTACCGGCGATGGTAATTCTCAAAGGAGATTCCAAATGCGTACTCGTCATTCTCGCTGGAGACTCCATATAATGGTTGCTGATTCCACGAAGACGCGACTTTATGCTCTGATCCCAAATGCCCGAAGTTCCAGGAGACGAATCTGGGCTTCTTCTCGAACCCCTCTCCGGCGAGGATGAGCTAGCTGGCGAAGGTGACTCAGATTCTCTCGCATACACCCAATGTGCCACGTAGACCGGCGGCGGCGGCGGAGGAGGAAGAGGAGCAGTCTGAATAGCAGCCGATTCAGGTGACTTGGACCTTGAGCTATTGGGGCTCAAACTCACCGGCGGGGAAATGCTCAGAGACACTGACTTCTTGGGCGGGCCCGAACCCGAACCTGAGCTCGACGAAGAGAAAGAAGAAGATGATGAGCCGGACGGTTCGAAATTGTCGACCTCGACGGCGGAGAACGCCCTCCTGGAAGCCGATCCAGTTCCGATCGAGCTCTCTCTATCTCCCAATGACCCTTTCGGAGAATAAAACACGTCATCTTCTTCGTCCGCTTCGGAACCAAGCTCCGTAGTCCCGTAATTGCGCTCAAAGCTCTCCCCGTGAAGCGGCGCTAACGGGCGGAGCTCCGGAGACTCCATTTTCAGCGACGTTCCCGAGCTCGTGGAGATACTGCTAACACGAGGGTTTTGCGGATTGTGCGAATCGATTCCTCCTCCATGTGAATTGACCATAGTGCCCAAGTACAGAAACTCGGAGCTAGGTCGAGACGGCATCTGTAGCTTCGGAATGCGGCGATTCCCGCCACTCCCCCCATTATTGCAGTAACTTAATCGGGTACTGTAATCGGATCTATGCGTTTTCGAGTCACTGGAAGAAGAACGAAGATTCCTCCTCCGCCTCCGGCGATGAATCAAGACGGCGATCAGGATAAAAATAACCGCCGCGGCGACGCAGGAGATAGCAGTACCAACGAGCTTCGACGAAACCGGCTTCTCCGGCTGGGGGCGGGGGACAATGAGGGAGGAGATATTCGCCGGGAAGGAGGCGAACGCCTTGGGAGACGGCGGCGGCGGAGGCAGAGGGAACGACGGAAAGAACGGAGCATTGCCGTCAGCGGTAGAAGGCACGGAAGGCGGCGCCGGCGGCGACGGCACTGGCGGCTTGGAATCCAATGGAAGGAAGGGTTGGTGGAGAACACGGCGGCTGTGGGTGGCGCAGGAAAAAGAGCAAGAAAAGAGGAAAAGCGAGAGAAAGATGGAGGTTAGTGGAGGCATTGCAGCGGCGATTTAGAGGAGAAAGCCCAGAAGAATTAGGTGAGGTGCAACAATGGATTCATTCACATTTACGCTGCAATGAAGAGAGAGAGAGAGAGAGAGAGAGAGAGAGAGAGAGGGAGGGAAGGAAGAGAGAGAAAATGGTGGAGATATAGTCTGCTACGATGCATGGTGGACAGAGAGTGACCAAGACGAGTGAAAAAGGTAAAAAGTGTAGGTCTGTAGGATGTCATACTGTTATTTTTTATTTTATTGCAGCATCATTATACTACATGTAATTATAAACTTATGGGTCTGACTTTTGTGAGACCGTCTCACATATTATTTATAATTAACAAATGTAATACGTAATACTAAATATTATAGTACATTTCATCTTGATCCGATCCATCTCGCAGACAAAAATTTATGAGACTATCTCACACAAATTTTTGTCTAAATTTATAATAATTAATTTATTGTTTATAAAATAAAAAAAATTGCATCATATTTAAGAAAAGATGACAATTTTTTCCCTGAATTATATGCTTATAAGTTACTCCGTAGAATATGGAGTATTTTTTTCTTAGTTATTCATGTATTCACATATGTCCCCTCAATTATGTTAAAGTGACAATTTTTCCCTTTTTTATTGCGTTTTAGTATGATATATGTCTTGAGCAAAACTATTTTTTTTAAGAGAACTATTTTATTTTTTATACTGAATTCTTGATAAAGTAGACAATTAGATTGAGTGATTTAGCTTTGTATAGTAACATAATTTATCTTTGGTTATGTTACACATATTTGGATGGAAAATAAGTATAATTAGATCCCTAAGAGCAAACTAATTCAAAAGGAAGCTAATGGTGTAATAATTGGTATAAGTCTCAAGTTCAACTAGTAGCACTTACTTACTCATTGAGGCAATAGAGTACTCATGGTCAACCAAATACCAATAAGCAGTTCAGCTGACCAATTACCTAAACAATGTCAATTATAGAACATTAAAACTTGTATACATTGTAATGACTAAACATGTTTTTCACTTATACTGAATTCGATCACTTATGTAATATATAATTTGATCTACACAATCATTCATGATCAATCTTGATTCTTATTTATACATTCATCTTGTTAATTCTAATTAACTCTTGGAAGAAATATAGTTTCATTTTTTTTCAGTAAAACATGAATATATCTTTTTTAAAAAGAATTTTATTGCTAATTATATATTTTATATAATTATAATTAGTAGTCATTATCACTTAGTTTACCAAAAAGGGAAAGTATAGGGCATTGGTTGATCTACTTAAATTGCCAAAATATTACGTATAAGCACGTGCCTTGTTGGTTCTCACAATTTTTACCCTCCACCCATTATTGCATCATATCCATCACTTTCCCAAATTATATAAATACCTCATCATTGATAAAAAAAAAAAAAAAAAAAAAAAAAAAAATCATGAATACACCAAAACCTATATATTTTGTATGTACATATCAACATATGTAACATGTGGAATGATGGTCAATAATTCCCTACCTAACAAATGAATGTGTGTTTAATTTGAAAGGGATTGTATGTGACAATAGATTTTGTGAACAAGTTTGATTTTTGTCAACACCATTTTAATTGAATATATTATTGCACAAAATTTTTTTAGTATAGTTTACCTGCGATTAAATAAAAGTATGAATGTATATGCTTATCACATATTACTACTCAAAGTGTTGGAGTAAAAGTAGGGTACAAATATTTGTAGTGTAAAGATTTGGATATGGATATAATGTGAAGGGTTGGTGTTTATACTAATGTCTACTCATAATAATAAGAATTTATTAGATATAATCATTGAACTAAAGTTATCATAGTGGCATCTTGTCTTTTGCGTGGCTTCGACACATGGCGGTGATAATTAATATTTAATGTTATCAAGTGCGCACTCTATGTGCTTAGTTTTGTCGGACTATATCTTAGATCACATATTCACATGAACCCGCCTCTAGACCTATGAAAAAATGTATGTCTACTTAATACTTATATGTCAAAAAGAGTATTTTCCTTATTATTATATTTGATCACTCAAATTTTTCTTAAGTTTTCTTACTTAATACTTATATGTCAAAAAGAGTATTTTCCTTATTGTTACATTTGATCACTCAAATTCTGAGTAAGTTTTCTTTGAATGCTACTGACTCTATTACACCTACTGAAGCACAAAAAGCCAATAACGCCTCCACTGAGACTCAAACTCACAATCTTCTATATGTGAATCCAATTCGGATGCATCTAAGCACAAGGTGCTTGTCAATTTTCCTTAAGTTTAATTACAAGTTTAATCACAAAGCACCATACCATTGAACTACTCTTCTTTTTTAATATTAAATAGGCTTATTTTGAAAATCAATTTATCATCTACGCATTATTTATTTTGTACATACAATATATCAATTTCTTTGTCTTACTTCAAAAAACATGAATCCACTTAAACCCAATCCAAATTAAGAGTGAACCAAAATAATCACTTAAAATATTATTTTTGTTACAAATTTCTAACAACTCAAACTTTCAATGTTGGTTGGGGGATTCAAACCCCACCCTTATTTTTGACATTGCATGTTTTAGGGTGTGTTTGGTTCGCACATGAGAATCGAAATCAGAATGAGTATCAAATACTTGTAATGGTAATGAGTTTTAGGGTGTGTTTGGTTCGCACATAGGAATCGGAATCGGAATGGGTATCAAACACTTGGTAATGGTAATGGGTTTTGGTGAAAGTATTTAACATGTTTGGTAGTAGGGTGGAATGGGAATGGTTACTAATAGTAGTGCTTGAAAATGAATAAGGGAATGAAACCCTTATTGTATTTGGGTATGGGTTTTTCAATTGATGGGGTATTCGAAACCCATAGTAGTGTTCTAAAAACTTATCAACCAAACAACAACAATCACTTTCATACTCATTCCTATGGGCAAAACCCACCAACCAAACACACCCTTAGTAAAAGTATTTAACATGTTTGGTAGTAGGGTGGAATGTGAATGGTTACTAATAGTAGTGTTTGAGAATAAATAAGGGAATGAAACCCTTGTTTTATTTGGGTATGAGTTTTTCAATTGATGGGTATTCGATACCCATAATAGTGTTCTAAAAACCTATCAACCAAACAATAACAATCAATTTCATACACATTCCTATGGGCAAAATCCTTCAACCAAACACACCATTAATCTTCCGCAGGGACTGTAGAAGATTATGGATATGCATGCAATATGGATGGGTTAGGTAAAGTAGGCATTTTATATCATAGACCAGGATTCATACATCATTATAAAACGACGAGGTACAGAATTCAATCAAATCATCATAAAGTACAAAATTTCATAACACATGACAAAAAAAAAAAAAAATCACAACAAAAAACACGTACACATATGATATATTTATTTATTTATTTGTGTTCATAGTTCATAGACACAGAATTTCAGAGATTTCGCACTTTTGGTCCCACAACTATAGTGACACTATCAGGATTGATCCACGACTTTCAAACTTTACAATTTCGGTCCACGACTATTTTTTTATTTTTTATTTTCAAAAATGATCATTCCGATCCATTTTTCGTCAATTTCTCACCGGAGTAAGAACCATTTTCGTTAAAAGTGGGCCTGAAAATTGACGAAAAGTAGACCGGAATGACCATTTAAAAAATAATAATAATCATGGACCGAGATTGCAAGGTTTGAAAGTCGTTGATCAATCCTGATAGTATCACTATAGTCGTGAGACCAAAAGTGCGAAATACTCCAGAATTTCAGAATACACGACACATAAATTCAAAACATAAGACACAATTATAAATTTATTTTAGTACAGAATTCATATTCTTAATGTACAGAATTTCATAACACAAAACACAAGAATTCACAACAGAAGATATATACACATACATCACACTCCAAAATGTAACTATGAATTATTGTCCATGGTATAAGGATTGTGTAAAGTGGGGACTTGAATACAATATAGATATATTGGGCGTGGCATGCACCGACAGTCCGATCCGTAGTGGAATATTCAGCAGTGGTTTGTGGTACGGTGGCGTCGACGCCACTCTAAACCGTTCGTACGCTCCTTCCACCGCCACACCCAAAACAAAAAGAGAACAATTGAGGAAATCTATGTATGTATGTATGTATATATTGTTTGATACCTACAACCAACAACGTGGTACATGGAATCGTACGTTGTATTTATGCTCTCATATATGCATTCCTTCCAGCTAGCTAAGCTAGCTGCTATTTCTTTTCCTTTTCTTTTTCTTTTTCTATTTTGTTTTTGATAGTATATGTTTTTGACTTCATCGAACTATATTTTAGTCTCTAGATCTCATAAACCCTTATCAAAAAAAAAATTATAAAGAGGTAAATTAAATCGAATTAGTTTTGAGATTTATTATTAAATTGTACAATTTTGTGTAGAGGTGTCAAAGTGAATTGAAGTCTGTGAGCGGGCCAACTCTAAACCCCCAATAGAACGGCTTGTTAGAGCCTAAAATTATTGACCCACGTGGTTGATAGAATACGCGGGCTAACAATATTATATGTATAATACTAAAATAAAACCAACTATAAAAATTTTTTTAAAAAAATTAAAATACGAAAAACTCAAAAGCCTAATATTATTTAAATTAAATCATTAGAATATAAAGAATAATAATATAATTTATTTTTAAATTTTTTAAGTTGGTCTTCCTAGCTAGAGTTGAAGAATTCTAGTCCACCGGTTTCGCGTACCGGCCCCCAAAAATTAGAAGGAATAGGCCAACTCGGCAAATTATTTCATGGACCATGGTCTATACAATTGTATGGACTATGAATATTAGGTACATTGTATTGAAGGTACATTATATAAAATAATGTATCCTTAGTATATTAAAAATGTACTTTCAAAAAATGTACCTTATGTACATAAATAATGTATCCTTAGTATATTAAAAATGTATTTTAAAAAATGTACCTTATGTACATAAATAATGTACCCTTAGTATATTAAAAATGTACTTTTTATTTATGGTCTACACAATGTGGACCATGGTCCATGCAATAATGATTGGCCAACTCCCATCGACGCGAGTTGTTATACTATGGACCAGGGTCCACCTTGCAAGGTGGATCCTGGTCCTAAACGACGTATAAATTGTGTATTTTTAATATTGAAATTGTGAACTTCTAGAATATATATATTGTGTTTCTAAGTCAAAACGCATAACAGTTGTAGTTGTGAATTTGTGAATATAATATATGGTTATCTAACTATAATTTGTTAATATTGTGTGACTACAATATTTGAAAAGAATTTGTGAATACAAAAATAAGGTAATCAATTACATATATATGTTAGCATTGTATTTTCGTAGTATACAAATTGTTAATTTTTAAAAAGTAAATTGTAAATATTTAAACTCGAGTAAAGGTGTACCCTAGTCCACATAATAATTTGCGCATTGACACTCCTACTTTTGTGAAACCAAACACTCACCATGCTACTTATATTTGCTTACTGATATTTTTGAACCTGGTGATGTGACCCGGATTGTTAAGATACCGGTCTCTCAGGAATATGAAGATCTGTGGTATTGGCATGGGGACTCTAATGGTTGCTACTCTGTTAAGAATGGGTACAGGCATATTGTGGGAAATTATGGCAACAATATGAATATGGGGTTTAATAAATGGCTCACCTTATGGAAGCAAAAAATACCACCCAAGTGGATGACTTTTTTATGGAAAGCCATAAGTGATATCCTCCCCACTACCATCAACTTGCGTACTAAAAGGGTGAATGTTAGTCCGGTGTGTGCTGTGTGTGGTGTGGAAAATGAGGATGTTATGCATGCATTGGTTTTGTGTGACTATACAAAAACCATTTGGGCACAATCTAACCTACCATTACCGAGCACTATGACAAATATTTTTTATGTGTGGTTTGATGAATTGTTGAATATTCTAGACTTTGATGGAATTCTCTACGCAGCTGCAATATTATATTATCTATGGAGAACCCGGAACGAAGCGATACGGAATGCTTGTGTAACTCACCCGAGGAGGATGTTGGCTACGGTCCGTGTAGCTGTCACTGCATGGCGCCAAGTCCACGCTGCTGCTGCCCCGCCTACTGTTGTTGCGCCCCAAGGAGCAGTAGCCCCTACTGCCATACGGCAGCAACCGCACCAGCTGGGTCCTCATCACCAACACAGCAAATGCAACGTGGACGCAGCTTACCACGGTGGTTCCGACATAGCGACGGTAGGTGCGGTGCTTATAGGAGGAGACGGACACTTTATCTCAGCATTTGCCGCGCCATTGCCACACTGCTACTCCCCTATAATGGCAGAGGCATATGCCTGCAAGGAGGCCCTATCTTGGTTACATGATCGTGGAGTACAATCGGTTGAACTATTAACGGATTGTCAGACGTTACATAAATATTTAACGCCACCATATCAATTAGCAAGATCGTATATTGGCTATGCGCTTGATGGATGCAGGAACCATATTACTACATTTACATATTGTCATGTTCATTTTATTCCTAGATCGCAGAATTATTTAGCACATAGTTTAGCAGCTTCGGCTTTTCATTATGACACAGCTATGTATTGGGATGATATCCCACCAGACGCTATTTCAGCTTATCTATGAATACAACCCATTGGTTGACCTTCAAAAAAAACACTCACCATACTGCTAGAAACGAGTCTTAAGTGACCGCAACCTTTATATGAGTCTATAAACAGAATAAACTCTACTTATATATAATATAATAACTTACAAATCTTCTATATAAGAATTATACTACTTTATCCACTCTATCACCATCTTATGTGGCTAGCTGCTATTTCGATGATGCTTATAATGATGTCTGTTCGAGTTTACGTTGCGTCGTTGCAGCTTTTGGCCAACGCCTATTTCTTCCCTTTTCTTCTTATTCTCTTCTTTTTTGTGCTCTTTTCTCTCTCTCTCACATTCTTATTTTATTCTCTTCCATGCATGAAAAATGAAAAGTGTAAAGTAAATCACGTAACATTAATTTTCAATTACTTTTTTTTCTTTACCAATATAAAAAAATACAGAGATTGACAAAATTTTCAACATTTTCATTACCATTTCAAGTTATTGAAATTTCCAACTTCTCATTAAAAGTGGTCGAAAAAAATGCATTAATCCTGAAAAAAAAAAAATTCTTACCACAAATTTTAAATTGCTGTTTCAAGTGGTTGAAAATCCCTAACCACTATCCGAAGGTATACACTAAATTAAATAAATCTCACTTCAGTTTCAGTGTAGTAGTGGTTGAAAATCTGTAGTCATTATCTGAGAGTGTGCACTAGATAAACCTAGTTACTCCAGCATAATGCTATGGCATGCAAACCATACATGATCAGTAAATCACACTAGAATGAGCGCAACATGGGGGACGAGCTCGACCGAAAATGTATTAATGACAAGAGTTAAATATAAGTACGAAAATTATGTCTCACTCACTCGATCACTCTTTCAGGCCATCCGACATTTAGTCTATCCTTTACAGTGATAAGTCAAAATTATCCCTTCCTTTTTTAACCTAAAATTAATGACTGACAATAACAATGGACATTTTGGACTTTATACTACTTATTCCCTTTCAATTCCCATGTATATCAGAATTGAAATTTCCAGTAATTCTATTCTTGTAAATCAAACACTGGAATTTAAATTCCCACTTTATTTTCACTAATTCATCTCCCATAAAATTATAATTCATTTCTCACGTAATTTCCTCTCTCTAACCAAACGCCCACTACTAAACGTTTTATTTTCTTGTGTGAGCCCTGGTGTGAAGTGATGGGTACCAAAACCCTTTTTGGTGTTAAAAAAGATTAACAAAATGGGGGTGAATCATGACAGTCATGATCATATATTGTGAACATTATAATAAAAAAATAGCAACTTTGTTGACCAATATAGACTCCACTTATTATTACCCTATAACAACCTACACCATTTGCAATAATATTTGCGTTGTGTCAGGATCGGATTACTATCCAACACTGCACTGACATAACACCTACTTAGATCAAACATAAATATTAACATTATTGTATATTTGTATTTGTTCATTATTCAGTAGAAATCAGAATTAGGTGACCATATCATATTTTAATACTATGCACATGTGCAAAATGAAAAATTAAATTAAAGATAATCTTAGTAACAACACTTGTTAGCAAAACTCTAAATCAACTAGCTACATTCCACTATTTTGGCACAATTCATCGAAAATAAAAATAAATAAGTAGATGTGTTTTTTTATGTCAAATGCATATCGAATGTTTCTGATGTATTGATATAGTTGTACATGTATATGATTGAGTTTTGTATAATAGAGCTTCATTAGGGTGATGTCGTAAAGCCGTAAATTAAAGGAAGAGAGTCGGATAGTTCGATAGATGATTTAATTTCTTTTGGGAGAGTAATTTCTGAGTAGGTGGTGAATAATCGAAGAAAGAGAGAATTCTTTTTTTTTTTTTCATTTTTGAACTCAATCCACAATAAGCATGGTGAACCTAGCCCACAATATAATTTGCAACTTATTAGGTTGTCATCATCTCTATTTGCTAAATGATGTGGCATAAAAAATTAAATTTTCTTTTTGCTGGTCAGCTTGGATAGCAAATTTGCTATCAGCAAATTTGCTCGGCCATACTTTTTTTATTATTATTATTATATTTATAATAATCTAATACAAAAGTGGGACCTAAAAGTACAAAAAATTTACAGGAATATAAAAAAAATTACAAATTTAATGATTTTAAAGTGAGGGAGATTTACCGGGATAAGGATAACCTTATAAAATGGATCAAGATCCACCTTGTAAGGTGAACCCTAATCCTAAACAGTTGTTAAAGCCATCAAATCATAAAATCCTAATCTGTTAATATTGTATAACTACAGTATTTAAAAAGAACTTGTAAATACAAAATAAGGTAATCAATTACATATATATTAACATTCTTTGTTCATATGGTATACAAATTGTGAATTTTAAAAAGATAAAGTATGAACATTTAATATGTAAATTATGAACATTTAGACTCAAGTCCACTTTACAATGTTAACACAGGTCCACCTAAGATTTGGGCTCATTAAAGCTCCAAGCAGAACATTCTCCAAGATTTGGCATAAGAAACAATGGCATCATTTTGATTTCTTTCTAGAAGTATGTACAACAAGAACATCTGTTGCAACAATCATAGTCCTATAGGAGTACATGTGAGAACCCATACTAGAAACAAATCCCCCACCCCAAAAATGAAAAAGAAACCTAATAAATATCTACAAATTGAAGATCAGAAACCAGATTCTCAACCTTAATGGAAAATAATAAATGACATATAGAGACTCATAGTCATCTCATCCTCTGCCTTCTACCCAATAGCTCCAATTGGTTCGCCTAATAGTAAGCCTTTAGATTAGATTAAGCGAGGAGGATAACAGATGAAAAACAATCTGTCACGAGTGCCATATGAAGGGACCATATTCCATGATGCATGGTTTGTTTCCACAGGTTGAAACTCCGTTAATCTACTTCAACAGGACAGTTCACGTTATCAGCAATCTTTCATTAGCCCATACACTATTCTGCAGCACAAACGCATGTCTTATAAGTAAGAATTCATTTCAAACAGTTGCAACTGACAAAAACTATCCACACAAAAGAATCCCAAGTCAGAAAGATAGCAAACAAGAAATAGGCAGGCTTGACATAGTTTCAATACAAGTGTCAATGTGCCATGCAATAATCTGGAATGTCGACTTTGAAAAGTAGTAAGCACATATTGATGTTGAATTGCTAAAATTATATACTTTGAGAGTTTGAGGATATAATTTGTATGTTTTCCCTTTATGTGCATATCTAATAATCAGAGTAGAATTCCATGATCATACATTAAAGGCATTGGAATTACAAAAAAGGGCATTACTATGGGAACTCTGAAGGTGAAAACCCCATATAGGTACAACAAGACAAGGCATCACTCTTGGACCAGAGATGTAGCTTTCTTTGTTTAATGTTTGACAAAAGTTTGGTCCTTTTAAAATTTAACTTTTGGATGTTTTACCTTCATGTATTTCAGTAAAAGAAAGAATAGAAAAAGATTCAACACTAATATTCATCTGATTACTCAAACCCAATTCCCTCAAAGCTATATTGTCATCAGGCATGCAATTGTAAAGAACACACATGGAAACTTCAATTAGTGGGAATCAACAGGCAGGCAATTGCATACCTCAGAAAAATTTCATAATAGTTAGTAGAAGGTTCCCTTCATATTCTCAACTGCAAAATCTGAGGACAAAAAACATTGGACACCAGTCATGCTGCTTGTTAGCCTGCTACCTTTATTGCACCCATTTCATCAATTTTTGAGCTCTTGTGCTGCAGAATATCAGTGCATAATAGGACAACATAATTAGTTTTTAAAATAAAATATAAAATACTCCGTAAAAGGCAATAAAAATAAATAAATAAACAGTAGATCATGGAAGTAAAAAATATATTTAAAAAAAACTATATGCATAAGCTCACGATACAAAATTCAGGATATTAGGATAACAATAAGGTACAAAAACTAAAAGAATTTATTCTTGTCCAGGTTACCTTGCTTTTCTTGTGCTTGTGATCATTGATATCTTCCTCTCCATCATGCTTCCTTTTCTGGAGTAATTAAAAAAATACAAATCAGCTGTTGAATCAATTAAAGAGAAACGCAACTTCAACTCAAACTTTGAAGATAGGGTCCTTTCTGGGCTGTAGTGAGCTCAGTACCTATCAACCACTATACTGAGATATTTCAAGCCACAGAGTGTACAATCAACTCAAAGAGGAAAGTTCTACTCAACCATCTGTAGCTTGAAGTAGGTAAATAATATAATATCCTAATAACATTGACTGTAAATAATTTTAAAACATACCAAGCAGTAGTAAAATTCATCTAATTCAAGAGACTGAAATATCTTTAAGAAGCTAAAGTTAATATCCATAAATCATCTTCAGATGGAATTCCTAAACTTAAACTAAAAAAGATAACCCATAATGAATTGCATTAAAAGTCAAGTGGATCTTACATTTTAAATGAGCAAGCAAAATGTCACCAAGGAAATCAAAACTTTTATCCTTATATGCTTTTTTTCTTTGGACAGTATCACAAGTTGATAGCATAAAATAACTTTTTTTCAACACCAGTGGATATAATTCCCAGAATTAAATCATAGCAACATGCTTACCCACATAGTATCTAGAGCATTTAAAAATTGGGTTACAGAGCTTAAAGCTTTTCAAGGAAAAGAAGATGAAATTAGAATATTTTATCAGACCTTCTCATGATGCTTCTTTGAATGCTCGGCACCAGAATCATGATGGCCACTTTTATCTTTCTTTTTATCTTTATCCTTGTCTTTACTTCGATCCTTGTGACGATGTTTGTGCTTCTTATGTTCTTTATCTTTATCCTTGTCCTTATCTTTGTCCTTGTCCTTGTGCTTTTTATGCTTCTTCTCCTTGTCTTTGGACTCACTCTTAGATTTCCCCACCATAGTTGGGATACCCTTTTCAGACTAAAAAAACAAAACCAAAGATAATCAGTAATTCTTTAATGACACACACAAATGATACAATGTCAAAGCAGACAGGTTGATAGAACCACAGCAAATCTAAGAGGGAAGAGGGGAACATTATTTCCAAAAGAACTATCACAAAAACACATCAGCCAAATTCTTACAGAGGGCAGATCAATTGGAGATGTTTCCCTCAGTTGAAAAGCTTCTCCCAGAACATCTAGATCAAATGGCTTTATTGATGCATTCATCTCTCTTGAAAAGGAAGCATCCTCAATAAGCTGATCCAATTGCATTCCTTCACCTTTCCTAATTTCTGTGTCTCCAACCACATTGTGCAGATAGTGTGTATCTGAAATTGATAGTGGAAGTTGCCTCTTGCAGAAATACTCATGATGAGGCAACAACTTGAACTGACTAATAAGATCAACAGCACCTGTAAGTTCTCTGGGACCTGATATTTTCACAGAACCAAGTTGACTTCAGGTATCAAACTAAAGGCTCTAAAAAGCAGAATACAAGCAGAAGATGGAATAGCTCAGTTTCAAAGAATATTCCACAAGAAGCTCCAATTCAAATGCAGTTAATATACTTTAAACCTCATTTCTGCATGAAGGAACCCTTGCAACACTAATATCATAATGAAATAAAAACTATTTAAAAAATAAAAAAAAATAAAAAATAAAAAAAAGTCTTGCAGTCCCACAAAACTCATTTCACAACAAAATAAAATAAACTCTAAACTATGAAAAAACAAAAGGTTTTAATAACTTACCTCTTCCAAACTTTCTGTTTTCTGGATCCATCTATTTGCATCAAATATGTCAGCAGAACACAATTGCCAGGTATTGTATTGATCGATACAAACAGCAAAAGTTGAGTTTATCCAAGCAATGATATCAATCTCAGGATGTAGTGGAAGAACACACCACCATCTACAACCAAAATCAAAACAAAAAATTAAAATAATGCTACATTAACAAGTGATCTTCACAATTCAAGAAAAAGTGCCATAAGAGTTATTTAAGAGGCATCCTTTTCCCTTTGGGGCAAAGAAAATCACCTCTTTGCTGAAATATTGGGCATGTATCAACAGACATGTCAAAGTTACAATAACTAGAAGTTATTGTGGCATCATGTGATGCCGTATTGCAGCTAGTATAAAAATCATGTCTGTGTTACTTAAAAGCTACAATCTTTACCAAAATAATGTCAGAAATTGGTATAGAGAAGAGCATTCTGGCTAAAAAGATTACGAAAGCACAAGACTGAATAGCCAAATCAACCGAATGATCCACTAATTAGATTCTAAAAATTAGTTTGGAATCAACCGAATGATCCACTAATTAGATTCTAAAAATTAGTTTGAAATGCGTGTCAAAAATTGAATTTTTTAGGTGAAGAATCTACGTTCAAGCCTAAGGAGCAGTTTCTGGCCTTTGAATATCCAGTACACTAAAAGCAGACGATTTTCGTTTTACACGTAAACTACTCTAATTCCATGAGCAAAATCCTCGAGCTAACCATATTCACAATCAACCCACAAAACCTCCCCTTCATTCCACATTTTCCACACATTACTCGGCCCTCGAAACTGCTTGATCTCGAAATTCAGAACAGCAAACAACTCCCGAACTGGAGACAGAAACACAGAGATATCCAAATCACTAAACGAAAACAAGCTTACTCGATTGCAGTGAGAGATCCGCCGGGGACAATTCGCCTCCGCGAAACACGGAATTCCTCTCCCTATCTCCCTCCCGCCCGCTCCGGTGTCGCTCCAATCCAATTGAATACGTTCTCGAAGCAGCGAATAAAGTGCGGAGGAGAATTCGAAATAACTCCGGCGACCGTACGCGGTTGCGAATGTGTGTCTTCACACCGTGAATAAACCCTAATTCCCGTGTTCCAGAGAGTTGAAAGACTATTCGCTCCGACCAGAATGAAAGAAGGAAGAAAAGGGACCGCTTTAACGCTACTACTCTATTTTAAGGGCAATTAAATTAAGAGTTAATTACCAAAATGTCCCTTAACTATAGCAAAATTATCAACTTGGTCCTTGATTATTTTTTTGACCAATTAAGTCCTTCAACTTTAAAATTTTTAATTAATTTGGTTCTCTATTTGTTTGACCGTTAATCAACCGTTAACTTGGGACCAAATTGATATTTTGCTATAGTCAATGGACTATTTTGGTAATTAATTTTAAGGGTGGGCAATTCGATTAAGTTTTCTCGAACCGAACTGTACCAAGCTAGTTAGATTCGATAATATACTGAACAACCGAATGGTAATAGATTCTTATATACCGAACGGTTCAGTAAAAACTCGAATCGAACTGAATTTGTTCGGTAGAAACCGAACCGAACCGAATACCGTTTGAACTTTAGATTGCTATTTTGTTATATACGGAGTATTAGACTTTGGATATGGACTATGTAAACACCATAACACATAATATATAACTTTTGATAACAAATCATAACGAGAGATACCCCGTGAGAATATGAGATGAACGGCGGAGCAAGCAGTAAGGGACTTGGAATTACTTATTTATTTATTTATTTATTTATTTATTTATTTATTTATTATTATTATTATTATATTTAAAAAAAAATCAAATGGTATTCGGTTCATTTCAATTTTTTACTGAACAATTTGGATTGATTTTTTATCGAACCGTTCGGTATACAAGAATCCCATACCGTTCAGTTGTTTGGTATATTACCGAACCAAATTAGTTCGGTTCGGTTTGGTACAGTTCAATTTGAAAAAACTAAACCGAATTGTCCACCCCTAAAGTTAATTACCAAAATGGTCCCTTGATTATAGCGAAATTACCAATTTGGTCCCAAGTTAATAATTGACTAATGGTCAAACAAACGGAGGACCAAATTGGTTAAGTTTTTAAAGTTGAGGCACTTAATTGATTAAAAAATAATCAAGGACCAAATTGGTTAAGTTTTTAAAGTTGATGCACTTAATTGATTAAAAAAATAGTCAAGAACCAAATTGGTAATTTCGCTATAGTCAAATGACCATTTCAGTAATTAACTCTTAAATTAAAAATCTTTTTTTTTTCCTTCCCTAGCCCCATAACACCCGCACCCCAACTTGATAGAATAATATGTATCCCGTTTAACAAGATAGTAAAAGCATAAATTATGATGAATTAATGACGGTATAAAACTCTAGTACAAAATATTCTGTTAAACCAAGGTGTGAAAGTCTTAGAGTTGGAAATTCAATATTTTGAAAGAAAAATAGTATGAATCCCGCTCAACAAGATAGTGAAAACATAAATTACGATGAATTAATGACGGTATAAAAACTCTAGTGCAAAATATTCTGTCAGGCCGAGGTGTGAGAGTCTTAGAGTTGAAGATTCAATCTTTTGGAAGAAAAATAGTATGAATCTCGCTCAACAAGATAGTGAAAGCATAAATTACAATAAATGATGATATAAAAATTTTAGTGCGAAATGCTCTACCAGAATTAAGGATTCAATCTTTTGAATGAAAAATAGTGTGAATCCCATTCAATAAGATAGTGAAAATATAAATTACGATGAATCAATGGCGGTCAATGAAATCTAGTCCCTAATATTCACAAAAATCTCACCAATCTTATATCTTTATCCGTCAAATATTTTTTTAAATTGTGATTTTAGTGCTGATATCATGGCCTCTCGTGTGTTTTTTTTTATTTACTTGAATTGCCCCTCTCGTAGTCGCGTGGAAGGAAAAAAGAGGGTGTTTTTGGTCATTTTAGTTTGAGGTTCCATCAAAATTCAGAAGGAGATGGATAGAACTAGGCAAAAGACTTAGGCCATAGCGGTTAGGTGATAGCTGTTAACTGATTGTGTTAATTAGAGGGTATAAATAGTTTATAGCATTAGCTGATTGTAGAAAAGTATTTAGTATAATTTCTTTACTCAAAAAGTTAATTGAAAAAGTTGTTTCGAGTAACTTTTTGAATTTTAGTCTTTTGGAGTTACAAAAAGTTAATTAACCAAACATTTATATTGATATTTTAACAAAATAAAACAATTAATAGTGGTCAAATAAGCTAAAATTGAGACAAATTATGTTGTGCATCCGTTTGCACCATGCATGGTGCACACGGATGCAAAAACGACGTCGTTTTGAATAAAAACGCGCGTCCCACTTAAAAACAAATTTAATTTCGATTCTTGGCAACAGCATTATGTTGTGCAGAATAATGAACTAAAAATCCAGAATCAATGAACTAAAAATCTATAATGAATGAACTAAAAATCCATAATGAATGAACTAAATATCCATAATGAATGAACTAAATATCCAGCATGAATGAAAAAAAATCAGATTCGAGTTCCGTCTAAATATCCAGAATCAATGAACTAAAAATCCAGAATCAATGAACTAAAAATTCAGAATCTATGAACTAAAAATCCAGAATGAATGAACAACATAATGCTGTTGAGGGGAATTGAAACTGAATTTTTATTTTTTAAGTAAAACGCGCGTTTTTAGTCAAAACAATATCGTTTTTGCATCCGTATGTGCACCATGCATGGTGCACACGAATGCAGCATAACGATTATAAAATTGACCTATAGACCAATTTTTTACCAAATAAGCTCATACTCCTATATATTTCAAGGCATTGTACGAAACCTCTGTCTCACCACTTTATCATGTTTCGGTAGATTCTATATAGTACTCAGTTGGGGAAATAAAGGAATTTTCTTGACAAAGCACCTTTTGTTGTAGAGCGATTATGACCATGTTTAGTATTAGCATAGTTAATTGGATTAATTAAAATGTATAATTAGTATAGTTATTTGGTATAATTTTAAAAAAAAATGATTAAAAAAGTTATTTTGAGTAATTTTTTAAATTTTAATATTTTGAAGTTACAAAAAATTAATTAATCAAACATTTATATTATGGAGTAATTTTTTAACAAAGTCAAATAGTTAATAGTGATCAAATAAATTAAAATTGATCTATAGGCTGACTTACAAAACACAATAATAACAATTGACCCTGCCAAATAGGAGATCATAAATTCGAGCTCCAATGGGGGCAATGTTGACAGCAAATTATTATGTTAATCATGATCCAAATAGTTATATAGACCATAAGTGCAATATACATTTTTTATATACTAAAATACATTATTTATGCTCTATTTGATAATATATAAAAAAAATTAATTACAAACATAAAATAAAATAATAAAATAATAATAATAGTAACGTGCATGGAAAAAAAATTGCCATGAAGTTTAATCTACACGTCAAGATCTAAGTTAAACCCGTTACTGCCATCGTCGATTGAAAACTAGCATAAATACATCAAAGAATTAATTTCACTTTTGGTCCCACGACTTTTGATATTTATCACTTTTAGTGCACAACTTTAAAATTTTTTAATTTTGGTGCCTAACTTTATTATTTTTATCAATTTTGGTCCTTTCGGCCAAATTGACAGTGAAATGTTGTTAGATTTTATATTGTTAGGGGTAAAATTGTCATCCCAAGGAAACATCTTCAATATCTAAACAAAATCACCGTAAAATCATATCTATAAGTGTTTGATGATGAGAATAATGGGGAAGATGGACAGAAACCAGACAGATCTATGGGATTTATAGTTTCGACCATTGGCAAACTCATCTTTTCCTCTTAATATGATTTTTCTTTTGTTTAAATATTGAAGATCTTTTCATGGGATAACAATTTTGCCCCTAAAATATAAAATCTGGAAATATTTTACCATCAATTTGGCTAGAAGGAATAAAAATAACAAAGTTAGACACCAAAATTGAAAAAATGTAAAATTGTGCACCAAAAGTGATAAGAACTCAAAAGTCGTGGGACCAAAAGTGAAATTAATTCTACATCAAATGATTAAATGCAAGACCGGCAAATACTCGACGATTCATGAGAATAAAATCGAAGGGTTCTATTTAATTCAAAATAAATCAAGATCATTAAAAATCCTTGTACTAGCAACGTCAAGATGAAACATCAAGTTGGTAAAAACTCACCCTCGTAAACTAATAAATCTCCATAAAAGACTACAACTGTAATGGATGCAGGTGAAAATACTCAGAAATTAAGATGCAAACTATGGTTTCAGGTTTTCGGAATGTGTCATTCACTCATCATCATCCTCATCATCATCGTCGTCGTCTCTTCCAGCAGCAGCATTTAGGGCATTCAGTCTCGAGATCAAACTAGCTTTCCTCTCTTCATAAGTTAGCTTCTTAAGGTTGTACCTGCAGCAAGTAGACCAATGAACATGTTAGTAACCGCTCTCGCTATAACCATATGTAATCAACAATTACTCGTTTGGGAAAATTAGATGACAGCAAAAGAATGCCAGACCTCTTGTGTTCCTTAGGAGGCTGCTTCTCAGATTTCTTTGCGCTGGGATCAGCGCGGATTGCCGCATGAACCTTTTTGTACAACTGCTCAAGGTTATCGGCATCAATACCCTTTTTAATGTATGCACTAAATACAGACTGGTACTTTTCAGGCTCATCTTCAATCAGATTCTGCATGCCCAAAAATGAAAAGAGAAACATTGAAGGGTTCCTTAGATAAACAATGAATTTCTCAGCTTAAAATGCTAACCATTACTTATCCGAGAAAGATCTTATAAGCTATAAGACAAAGCACAGCAGCGAGTCAAAACTGCATCATAAAATTATATTTCAACTCACCCTCATGTATGCAGCAACATGGCCTCCATAGATGTACTTGCGGTGAACCTCAGCATCAAGTTGTTTGGAATCCTTGCTGAATCCCGCAAACCTTTTTTCACTGTGAGGAATGTCAAGTCCACCATCTAGTGCACCCTGAAATAAAGAGTATTAAACATCCACCACCTTACACAAAATATAAATCCAATAACATAAATTCTGAGTTTGAAACCACTGAAGTCACTGATTCAGATTCAGTATATACACATTAATCTATTCACGAGGCATAAGGAAAACAAAAAGATATTGTATATTCAATTGAAAAATGCTCTACAAGAGCTGACATAAGATTTCCGGGTAGAGTACAAAAGTGGCAGTAAAAAAAGGGAGACGTTGAACAAGTTATGGTGAAACTCAAAATATACATGCTAAATGTAAACAAGACATTAAAAGCATGGTTTAAGAGACAAATATATTACCTTAAGAGCACCAAAAACACGATTCCCAGTGGTAGTTCGTAATAGACCAACATCCAAAAGAGCACGGAAAGGCCTCCTGCCTTCACCAGGTTCAACAGAATAATCCTCTCCAGTGGCCTATACAGAATGATAGTTCAAAATTTCAATATCCAAAAAAAGGGAAATTACTGAGTTAGTAGCAACCCAGGTATCCAATTAACAATTCACCTCAACATTTCCTTCATACTCTTCAGCCATTTCAAGCTTTTGGAGAAGTCGCCGAGCCAAGAGAAGTCCAGTGCAGTAAGCTAAATTCATAAGTACAAAGATTAGAACCGGACATTTGAAAATTAAAAGGAAAAATACAAAACATTTACAGAAAGGCTGCCACAGTTACCTGCAGCATAATTTGTGTGGCCAACCTCAAGGCCATAACGAGGCAGTTCATGGGCATAAGCAGAAGCAAGAATCATGTCACCAGCAATACTAGCAGATACAATTTGTGCAATTATATCCTTGTTGGTCTATGTACAGGTTAAGGTAATTAAGAATGTAAAATGCAGCACAAAGCCTTGCACAAGTATTCTCCAAGAGCATTACCTCACTCACCAGTAAGCCACCCCCATAAAGCAAAAAAAATGTTAATAAAAAAGTTAGAAAAATATATGAAGTATAAGAAATGTGTGGATACCCACAAGAAAACCATTCAATATAGTTAAAAGAAATAGCACAAACAAAAAAATGGTAAAGTAAAAAGAGACACTCAATGGATGTTAAAGATGTTACTTAAATAAAACAAAAATTGCATTGGGATACAAATCGGACAACAAATCTGTATTTTGGAGTGTTGTACTTGTTCTTGTCCTGATTGATCAACCGATTCCTAGCACGATAGTCGGTCTTGCCCTCTGCACAAAAACAAAGACATGAGTGATTTGAAAAAAATAATCATGGAAGAAGATGAACAACATTAACAAGATCAAATTATACCTCTTCTTCTCTTGAACTTGACCTGGAATCGCTTGAAGTAAGCTCTTGTCTTCTGGACTTTGATGAAGGCCTGCATGTGAAGTTCAACAATGTCAAGCACATGACATATATACAAGCATGCAACATGCCTAGACTAAATGTAATGTAAAAATAATTTGAAATTTCCCCACATATGAAGTGTAAAATTCCCTACACTAGATGTCAAAATGCTCTGGGTAAGTAGAGCTTCATAAATAAATAAAATCCACCTCAACAAAAAATAAAATAAAACCAAAAATCTGAAACATACATTAAGGTTTCACCGAATGCTAACTAAAATTCTCTTCCATTTAAACATATGATAGGGATTCAACTAAGAAACAAAATTGATATTTAAAATCACAAATAAACTAAAGATCCTAAGTACGCATATTTGCTCAATTAACATATAGTATAGAGCATTAGAGCCTAATATATAAATTTATCATCACAAAAACCACCAGGAACATAAAAATTTACAAGAAAAGTTATCAACTTATCAATTAAACACTACTTCACAGCGTAAGCTATCAACACATCAGCTAAAGAAGGTTGAGATAACAAGTCGTTCAATCAATCAAATATTATATCATGTAAGAAGTTATTTGCAAGCAGACACATCAAATAAAGCTCAATATTAACAACAGAATGAAAGTTTAAGCATATAGATATTTCTCGAATTCAGAATACAAAATGATACTAATAGCTTTTAAAACCAATCGTTTTTTCTCCTTTGTTCTTCAACTTCTCAACAATCATACATTGAATCAACGTCAATAACACAATATAGTAAAATTTACAGGAACCGCTGAAAAAGAAAATAAGCACAGATCGGTAAATCTAACCATTGTTACAGCTCCGATAGCCTCCGCCGCCGAGTGGTTGTCGGGAGGGAAGTAGAAGAGTGATAAAAAGGAGAGTGAGAAGAGCTGCGATGGGACTCAAATAGCTACTAAACCCTAGTTGTTTCAATGGCCATTAAATCGACGGTCACGATTGAGTTTAACATCAGCCTGTCCATTTGACTGACCACTTCACCAGTATTTGGGCTTGGGCTCGAATATCTGGACTTCCCATTCTGCCTATTGATACATACCGGCCAAGTTTAGATAAATAGGCAAATTATATTATGCACCGCGGTGCATAATCGATTATGCACCGCGCGTCTTTTTTTTAAATGAAAATTAACAGTGTTTGTTTCCGCCGTTTCGCACCCTTTTGCAAAATGTAACTCTGTTATTCAGTGTCATTTTGTATACACTACAGTTTCAGTTGAACACAACTACAGTTTCATTTCGATATAACTATAGTTTCATTCGATATTTATAGACTCAAATATGTGAAAATGTTATTTAATTTTATTTTATATATACTATAATTTCATTAAAACACAACTACATGATCATTTTGATATAATTACAGCTTCATTGTACAATATACACTCAAATATGTGAAATATTATTCAGTTTCAGTTTATATACACTGCAGTTTCATTTCACTATAACTACAGTATTATTTTGATATAACTGCAGTGTCGGTTTGGATATACTGTAGTGTCAGTTAGTGTTTAATACACCAAACAAGCGGAATCCGTTAACTCTAACGGCGGACCGTTTCTTTACTTAAAAAAACGACGTCGTTTTTGACCGCGGTGCACATGCACCGCGGTCTATAATATAACGACTGAGATAAATATGTAAATTATTTTTTTTTAGAACAAAGAAATGACTATCATTAATAATAGATTTTATTTTTTTTTATAGAACAAATAAACGACTATCATTAATAACAATCGTTATGCTATGGACCCGTGTCCAGCATACACGGTAGACATGGTAACGGTGTCGTTAGTGACACCATTATCTTTTAGGATTTTTTTTTTAATTTCATACCGCTTCGTTATAGGAGCATGTGTTCATAATTTTATCACTATATATTCATAATTGTAAGTTCATAATGTCAAAACTATGTGTTCATAATTCTATAACTGTACATTCATACTTTCATAACTGTACATTCATAATTTTGTAACTATACATTCATAATTCAATAACTGTAAATTCATAATTTTCGAAGCTCTATGTTCACAATTTTAGAGCTCTATGTTCATAATTTTATCACTATATGTTCATAATTGTAAGTTCATAATGTCAGAGCTCTGTATTCATAATTTCATAACTGTACATTTATACTTCCATAACTGTACATTCATAATTTCGTAACTGTACATTCATAATTCAATAACTGTAAATTCATAATTTTCGAAGCTCTATGTTCACAATTTTAGAGCTCTATGTTCATAATTTTATCATTATATGTTCATAATTGTAAGTTCATAATGTTAGAGCTCTGTGTTCATAATTCCATAGTTGTACATTCATAATTCTACAAACGAATAATGCCGTTAAAGGCGAGACACAATTAATTTTTTTTTAACTGGAATGCTGTCGTTTTCTCTAAAAACGGCGTCGTTTTGGACTCGTTCTGAGTCCACAGCATAATTTGCGCATTAATAATAGTTGTTATATTAAGGTGGACCATGATCCTAAATGACATATAAATTGTACATTTTTGGCATTAGAATTGTAAACTTTTATAATATAAATTGTGTTTTCATGTCACAACACATAATAACTATCAAGGTCGTCAAATCCTAATTTATTAATATTGTGCGACTGCAGTATTTGAAAGGAACTTATGAATATAAAACAAGGTAATAAATTACATATATGTTAACATTTTGTGTTCGTAATATACAATTTTTAAATTTTTAAAAGGTAAATTTTGAACATTTGGACCCGAACCCACATAATAATTTATGCATTAATAACGATCATGCAAAAAAAAAACACTACATAAGAAAGCTAAAGGATTAAAGAACCACTCCATTTGATCAGCTACACAAAGCTAAACATTTGTCTCCCTTTTTTTTTAAGGTCATTTTCTATACTACTACTCCCAAACCTTCTTATCCCTAACCAAGTATTCCAGAACTAACATGATAGTCGTTGTTGCCACGCCTAACCCCGCCACCCTGCTGCTAGTCGTCGTCACACCCCAAACTCGGCCAAGTCGTCCCCGTCACCAGACCCAGCGCCACCACCTTGCTTATGCCCGCAGTCGCACCCCAAAACCGGCTAGGTCGTCACCACGCCCATCGCCACTATCGATCGCCATCCCACCGTCGCCGCCAAACCATCAATCTTCTACGCCAAATCGCCATAATTAATAAAATATAAAGCTACAAATTTTGGGCAAAATGGTTAACCAGTCCATCAACTTCAAGTTGTTTGAGAAGTTCTACTCTATATATATATATATATATATATATATATATATATATATATATATATATATATATATATATATATATATATATATGGGCACGCTCTCATGCGAACGGCCGTCCAGGAGAGAAATAAGAACCATTCAGCGTCGTTCACGTGTCCAGACTCCAGATCAACGAATCATATGTAATTTTTTAAAAATGACGCGGTGACATTTTCGTAAATAACCCGAACTTTGGTACATCTTTGCAAGTAAAAAATGCAGGTAAAATCACTTACAAGTGCACCTACTTTCACTTATAAGTGCATGTAATTTTACATTATTAACATTCATGCACCTAGGTGCAACTACTTATAACTAAAGGTTACCTAGTTATAACGTTAGGTACACTTAGTTTTGATAACGTTAGGTGCACTTAGTTTTGATGCTCAGTGTAAATTTTACTTGCACCTGTAATACATTTTACATGCACTTGTAATACATTTTACATGCACTGAGGTGCACTATATGAAACGGCTACTTGCACTTGTAATACATTTTACTTGCACTTCAATGTTCAATTATTTACGAAAATGTCACTGTATGGACGGCGCTGAATAATTCTCATTTCTCTCCTGGGCGGGCAGTTCGCACCTAAACGGCCAGTGTAAACCACAAGGTGGTTCGAGTCTCTATCTGTCCGTTTAACGATCTAAGTTCACCTGACTAAGCACCGTTCATTCCGGGAGGCACGGGAGCTGGCCCAAGGAGAATCGAACCTGGATTATCCCATAATTTTCTCCCACAAAGAGAGTTCATTTGCCAATTAAGCTACCGCAGTGGGTTATTAGCCTAAACATTACAATCCTGTAGGTTAATATCCCCCCCCCCCCCTAATTACATACGTATAGTATTGGGTAACACTTGTGTGAGACGGGTCGGATCTTTGATTAATGAGGTCAAGCCTTTAAACTCATTAATGAAAAGATCCAACAAGTCTCACAGATTGAGATCCATGAGACAGACTCACACAAAATTTTGCCTATAGTATTTTATTCTTCTGAATTATTTATATATTTATATTTATCTCTCGATTATTTTAAAAATATCAATTTTACTTTCCTTATTAAAAACATTTATAATTATTTATGTATCTATATTTATCTCTCAATTATTTTAAAAATGCCAATTTTACTTTCCCTATTAAAATCATTTTTGAATTGTTAAAATAATGACAAAATAGGTATTTCATGTGTTTTTTTCCCTCCGACAAATTATTATACTTATATATGAAATCGTAATGAAAGCAACAAAAAAAAACACACACACACACGCACAATTTACAAATATAATTATTATAATTTTAACATAATGCTAGCAACAAAATTAAGACTTAAACACAATTAATTCATTATTGCTAAATTTGTGTTTAAGTTTTATATTTATTCTGATTCTCACATATACGCAATAATTTGCTGGAAAATGGAGTTGAATTGAAATACATATTTTGTCTTTATTTTTTAAAAACCTAAAAACCTATTTAACATTGGTAGGAAATATTTTTCAAGTATAACCCTTATATGTGTACCGTGCACTTATAGTATCTGGTTAAGTCACTGACAGGAACCATAACCAACCTTTCCCCGACCATTAACATGATATTCCCGACCTAAACGCTATAGCCGAGCTAGCTAAAGACTATAGTAGTGCCCCTGTCTCTTGAGGACTGACCCCATGAACTTGCCCCTCTAAATCTGAATCACACAAACTCTTTAGTACTTGTTCAGAAAACTCACATTCAATCTCCACAAAATCCTCAACCCCCTTCTGTTTTGAACTAGTAGCAATGTCCCTAAGATTGTTTGCAAGATTAGGTTGTCCTTTATCACTTCCTTCATCAGTATCCATACTAGCATCTTCATCATGCAATAAGACATCATTTCCTAGTTCCCTAGAGATTTCTACATCATAGTCCCATTGATTTTCATGCAAATGCTCTACATATATGTCCACCTCTTTGTTCACTGGAATCTCAGTAATCAACCCTAGGATATCAACATCACTATTTATCCTTAAAACTGTAGGTTTTCTTTTGTTCACAACCTTATACTAGGCGGTCACGGTTTATGGGTAAGCAGAGCACAACTTGGGTCGGTTGGCTGGGATTTATCCTACCAATAGACATTAATACACTGTTGTCTATCTCAAATAAAGTACGAATCAACATAAATACTCGTTTCAAGGTTTTATGTCTACCAAAAACATATTCTCCAAAAAAAAAAAAAAAAAAAACCCTAACTTTTGACGAAAAATTTACAATTTGGCGTAGTAGCAAACCTATTAATCCTCCGACTCGTCATGTTGTTGCTCCAATGCCTACGATTTTACTCCAAATTGGTGGATTTTGGTGGGGTAAAAATTTAGGGCTTTAGGGCTTAGTTAACTGGTTCTTCGACACTTAATCAAAACATCCGCACAATAATGTAAGAAGAAGACTAAAAAGTGAAATGACTAAATTACCCATGACAAATCGGAACTATCGCCAAAATTTGGACGGACTACGGCCGGAGGGGCTAAATCAACTAAAAACAGTTATTTTCAGAGACTAAATTGATGATTACGCGATTAAGGAACTACATTGATATTTCGCTAACAATTGAGGGGCCAAATCGTTGATTTTTCCTTAAACTAATGAACGAATATGGTACATAAATAATTTCGGGAAAAAAATATCAATTTTCTATTATCTCTTAAAACAAATAAAGCAAAATAATTAATGAAAAAAAACTCAAATTGCCTGGGCAAGTAAAACACAGCAATAAAAAGTCCTCGTAGCTCTCACCATCTTCCACCCTAGGCAAAATGTCTTTTTAATTTATATATCTTCTCACTGTAAATATACAATTTTGATCACTGTACTGATAGAAAGGAGAGACAATGATTTGATAGTGTCAGATACTCAATGGGATCAGTCTTGATCTAACGTTTAAGATGTCCCAAGCTGATGTCAATTACAGGTTTATCTTCTTCCCGTATTTCTCGTCCAGAGCTTCTCTTTTTTCTCTTCAGGTTTTCTATTTTCAGCTCGATTTTAATCTCAATTGAATTGGATTATTGATTTTTCACCCAAGGTTTTATTTGTATCAAAGTATGAATGTTTTATTGTTGGAAAGTTGTTGTTATAGTTGTTTTACTCTTATCAATTTGATTGTTTTCTTATGTTACTGGCAATTTTGGTTTTTGTTTTGTTTCCAGTTTGTAATTGAGTCTGGATTTTCATTATTGTGTTCTCCCACCCCTGGGTATTTGATTCCTCTAATTATACAAATTAGAATCATATCATCTGCTAGAGGAGTACTTGTGTTTCTAGCAAGGGTGCTGAACTTGAAGAAGTAATGCTATTGCCAATATGGTGTTTTCTCTTCACCTATGAATTTGATTGTTTTCTTATGCTACTCGCCAGGGTTTCGGATTGTATTTTATTTGTGGGGCAATGAACTAATGCAATGTTTTTTGAGAATTTGATTTTATAGGTTCTGTGGTTGTGTGTGGCGAAGATCACATTGCATCTTACAACTTGCTTATCATCACTTTGTTGGTATCTGTTTTTATGATTCCACAATATGTTTTTTCGGTGATCACACCAAAACACATTATATATAGGTTTAGTGGCTCTATCTTTCATAGTCATTCTGCAGAAAGTCATCATACAAAGAGTACATTCTGTCTATGTATACTAGTCCCAGAGAAATGGGATTATGGGATAATTATCACCCTATCCCTGATTCTTAACCTGAAAACAAGGTAACATAGCAAAACCCCGTCCCCAAAAGCATTGCATCATTGTTTTAGTTTTTGCTATGGTGTTAACGCCTATACAAACGATAGCTTTTAACTAGACCAGTAGTCATTTGTGTGAAGCAAGAGTAGAGAAAGGCACATAAGTCATTTGTTTTAGTAAGAAACAGGGTCGACAAGTCTGAAATGGTACCGTTTCATGAAAGACACAACTTTACACTACCCACTTGAGGTGACACACGGAGCAATTTGAAGAATACATTCTCAAATTCCATTTAGCATCTCTTTGACAACTCCGTTTCCATGAGGTACATAGAGGAATTTCATGATTGACGTAGTATAATTCGTGAATTCTCCAAAGTTAAGAATTAATAGAGAGATCACAACATCACACACTAGAACAAAGATAAAACCGTCCAATATGAACTAGGTTTCCAAGGTAATATACTTGCAAGTTTTAAAGTAAAGTAAACATCATGCTTGTTTGGTACCACGTTAGTTTTACTGCACTACTCTTTAGCAGAGAGCCTACTCATTAATAATGAGTCATTAAGAACAAATTTGGGAGAGCTTTAATATGTTATCGAGTGCACGCTATTTTCATATAAGCAAATTATAAACGCGATATCCTATTTGAGGTTCAACTTTCACAATTTTGTTCTTCCTTGTATATCCTAGGCGTCTTTTAGGCGGGCGGCTGACTAGGCGCCCTCGGCGCTCAACTGGGCCGAGTCGGGGCCCAACTCGGCCAACCCTAATTTGATAACCCCCCCCCCCACCCCCCCCACAAAAGAAGAAGAAGTCCAAAGCATCGAGCGTCGCCCTCTCCACAACCGCAAAGCGTTAGCATCGTCGTCGTCCAGCCATCTAGTCCTCACCGTCACAACAGCCACAGACCTCCTCAGCCTCCTCGTCTGCTCGTCATCGTAGTTGCTACACGGAGTTGCCTCATCATTGTCCGTCATTGCCGGCCTCGCCTACACCTCGTCGGTTGCTCCTCTTATAAAATGCCTTGGCTGAATGTAGTCTCTAGAACACTGCCTTCTACTTTTGATTTATATTTATTGTCTTTGCCTCTCTGGAACACTGCCTTCTATTTTGTTTTCTAATTACTAGTGTGTCTAGGTGCTAGGCGCCCCCCGAGCGCCCGATTAGCGCCTTCTGCAACATTGTCTATTGTCTATACTCTTTAGAAACTTTGTTTTGAGCCCATTCTTAGGAAGCTTCAATATATGTTTCATAGAGATGGCAATGAAATGGCTTCTTATTGGAATGTGTTAATGTTGTATTTATTTTTTCTTTTAAATGGGTTGAGTTTGGATTTGAATATTGGATGAATTATTTAATATTCAGTTTGGATATATATATATATATATATATATATATATATATATATATATATATATATCTGTGGGTAGTGCATTAAGCTGTACTTTAATTGAAACAATTATATGTTGGTATTCAAGATATTCCGGTTAAGGTGAGCTTATTTCATTTTCTCCGTTGTTATTTGTTCTAACCTCGAGTACAAATTAAAGATGATACTCAAATTTCTTTCTTTACTGATGCCTAATTGCCTTTAGCTTAAAGGACATCTTTTATTGTGAACTAATTTGCTATTGTGCTCATTATTGCAGCTGTGGCTCTTGCGGATATCATCTCAACTTAGTATCTTCTAACCGTGTAACTACTGGCATTGGTTCTGAGTATAGTAAAAAGATAAAGAAAGGTTTTATCTCCTTTACGTCCATTGACCTCAGTCGGTATACTCAAGTTGATGAAGTAAATTGTTTTCCTATTTCTTTGGGCCGTAATCGTTCAAAAACAAAACTGCTTTGTCGGAATTGTGGAGTTATAATTGGTTATGGGTATGGAGACTCTTCTGCTCTATGTGGTTTTCACTCACCTAGCGCAACTAGCCCATCCTTCAAAAAGATTATGATAAAGATCCGAGCTTTACAGCCTTTAGAGGAATGCTAATTTCAGCAAAAATGGAGAATAGTTCTATGGACTACTCTACTACCATCTTGCAACTTCCTAATGATTGCTTATGTTTGATTTTTCAACACCTTGATTGTAGCTGTGACCGTGAATCATTTGGCCTGACCTGCCACCGTTGGCTACAGATTCAAAATTCATGCCGAAGATCCTTGCAGTTTCATTGTTCGCTCAATCTGCTCAATCTTTCCTCATTATCTCAATCTACTAGCCCAAGCATGAGTGCCTTCCATTTGTTTAAGTTACTAAACCGTTTTCAGCAGCTGCAATCATTGTCTTTGTCTGGCTGTATTGATCTCCCCGATTCTGGTTTAACACAGTTGCAGTATCATGGCTCGAAGTTGCAGAGTCTGAACCTTGACTGTTGTTTTGGAATTACTGCTGATGGGCTTGCCTTGGTTGCCTCGGGCTGTTCTTCCTTGACTATTCTCAGTCTTTACCGGTGTAATGTAACTGATTCCGGGTTAGAGACCTTGGCTAAATCTTGCCTGGCGTTGGAAGATCTGAATCTTGCGTATTGTTCCCTTGTTTCTGATGATGGGGTGAGGGCCATTTCACAAAACTGTCGTCAGCTTCGGGCTATCAGAATATCGTATTGTAAAGCTGTTAGTGGCATTGGATTTCAAGGCTGTTCCCAAACGCTAGCTTATGTAGAAGCTGATTCCTGCAAGCTCGAACCAGATGGCATACGGTGTGTTCTGAGCGGAGGTGGGGTTGAGTATCTGAGCGTGTTGAACCTGAGCTGGAATATTCGCGGGGATGGCCTGACCGCCATTGGCACTGGATTTGCCTCGAGACTGAGAGTGCTCAACTTCCGCTTCTGCAGAACGATTGGCGATGCCACGATCGTGATGATTGCAAGAGGCTGTCCACTGCTTCAAGAATGGAACCTATCGCTCTGTCATGAGGTCAGAATACTGGGGTGGAGAGCTGTTGGATCAAACTGCCTTAACTTGAAGACACTCCATGTAAACCGATGTCGCAATCTATGCGACCAGGGATTGCGGGCTCTCAGAAGTGGCTGCAAACAACTCTCGACCTTGTATATCACGCGCTGTGCCCGCCTGAGTTCTACTGCAATCGAGATCTTTAAGCTTTCAAGAGGGGATGTGGAGATCATTGAAGATGAAATAGCATGCATTGCACCAAAGCAGGCCTTCAGGTTTTAATAGGAAGAGAATAAATTACATTAAGATTATTACATAATGAACTTGAGATTTAAGCTTAGTTTAGCTTGCCAGAAAGTTTCCAGTTGGAGCATAGTTGAATGTTTCAATGGAGTTGGTAATTCACATTATTCTCTGTTACCATAATTGCACTCATTTTAGCCTATGGCTAGCAATTTCTTGTTAAAACTTATAGCTTCAGTACAGATATGGAACTGTGATTATATTATATGTTTTCTTTTCTAGTTTCTTACATATTTTACTTCCATCTTACTGGTTTCGAATAATCTCTACGATCTTCACAATTTAAAAGGAAATTTAAAGGTTTGAACTTAATGTTCCACCATTGATTATCTTAACGATAAGCGAGACTTCATCTCCTAAAGGAGAAAATAACAATGCTCTTGTATTTTCAACATTGCCACTTGCTATCTCACTCTCGAAATATAGTTCAAATTTATCTTGATGGCAATCACTCTCGAGATATAGCTCAAATTTACAACACTGGTTATCTCATTATATAGCTCAAGTTTACTTTAATTGTAATCTCAGGGTGTAAGATTGGGTATAAGACTTTATTCTTACTAGGGGAAGTGTATAAAATTAACAACACCAAGGGAAAGTGTATAAAATTGACCATATTGAACACTAGTGTACAAAGAAATTCCAAAATTAGGGTGCAATTAGTTATCCATAAATAACTTATCTCAAATCAAGTTGGATCAGATGCAATTTAGTTTCATTTCAATCATTATTTCAGGAAGAGCCATTGCCATTTGCCAAGTTGCTATAAGCCAATAATCTAAATCACAATTTCAGTGTTCACAAGATAACACATTTTAAAGCTATAGTAAATAATTCATAAATAGCAAAACAACATTATTCTGCCTTACAAAAAAAAAAAAAAAACATTATTCTGTCTTCACCCTTTTTGCTTAGGGTGTTGTAGGACACAACAAATTTTGATCTATAATAACCATGTTTCTAACAACAAATACCAGTTTCCATCCAAATGAACATATATGTATATATATATATATATATAGAGAGAGAGAGAGAGAGAGGACATTCATGATTTAAGCTATTGGTAAGGCAACAACAGCAGTATGGCAGTTCCACTCCATACAGAAAGCAATAACATCGCATTTGTCTGTCCTCTTGCTTTCGGGCAGACTGGCCTCAAAATGACTGCGCAGGTCAAAACAGAAGTGATGCGTCCAAGTCAAGTCCTCAATTGTTCGGGTTATTACCCCAAACATTGTCCCAGCCTCCAGTGGGACCAGCCTTAGGTCCCTCGATGAAATTTTGATTCCCATGAGGATTGTGAGGACCGGGGAGCCCTTGAGCACCAGGGTGATGAACTTTCTTAGGCCTTCTTTTAACTCCTAGTATTCTCAGGACAAACGCAGCTAGCTCCCCATACAATAACCCCGAACGATCACACACCTGCAAACATTATCCACAATCCAGAAGCCATCGAACTGGTTAGTAGTTAAGCAATTATACAGATTCTCAATTCCAAATAAAAACCAACTCACAGAGGTTTCAAATTGGAAATAGAGAACCCTTAAGCCGAAAGAAACAGGTATATCTGCAAACTGGTACCTGAAGTAATGCAGTCATAAACATGTGGAATGCCTGGGTGTTCTGGTCTATCAGGATTGCAACCCGGCCGAAAAAAGTAACAACACCTTGCATCTGCAATTATAGCCAAGAGCAGATAATCAAATGTGTACAAAAAGTCCAGACACATTATATACAGGGCCAAATGATTTTGCAGTCTACTCCTTTGTACCGGAGGGTGGAGGATAAGGAACTAGAAAATGTCAAGAGCATCTTTTGAAAGTATTCACAACCAAATAAACAATAAAAAAACTGGATATTTATTGATCCCATTAAAATTGCCACCTAATTTACACGCAGAATTGCAACCTCATATTCCCACTTGTCATGCTGCCTGCACGCCTGTATATGCTATTTTCAATACCCCTTCAGTCCGACCCAACCACAAAAGAAATGGGAAGAATAGAAGCAAACCTAATGTCTTGCAAAGAAAAAGTGAGGAAAAGGTGAATAACAATATAAACCTCCGTAGGGCATCTCCAATGGTGAAGATTAGAGGGGGAGAAATGAGAAGAAAACAAATGGAGGGGAGAAAAGATTATTCTCCAGAGAGAACTCACACGCCACGCACCAATAGCGTGCTCCGCGGCGCGTGACACGCAGTGGGCAGGGGACAGCCTGTCCCCCACCCACTGCTATATTATAAATTTTTATTTTTATTTTTTTGTTTGAAATCAAGCCGTTTCAACGGCTTGATTTATTATTTTATTTTATCTTTGGCAACCTTTCAATTTTATTTATTTATTTATTTTGTTTCAATGGTTTTGTTTTTGTTTTTGTTTTTTAATAACAATATTGTTACCTAAATTTACTTTTATTTAAAATCGTAATTAGAAATTATAATTATAAAGTTGAAATTATTAATTATAATAAGTGAATAAAATAACAGATGAGAGTGTGAAAGAGTAGGGCTCACCCAAAACAAAACAAAACAAAACCAAAAAAAAAAAAAAAAAAAAAAAAAAAAAAGAGGAGAAAAGGGGAGAAGGATTGGAGAGAAAATGCGAGAGGAGATCATAGGGTGATGTGGAATAGTTGGGCCCACAAATTGGGGAGGAAAGAGGAGAACCATTGCGGATGCCCTTAAGATAGACCTCAATTGTCTAACAAATTGACATAAGCAAAAGAGAAAGGAATTTTAGCACAAACGCAAGCAAATCAGACTATTTGGGAAGAATTATTTAACATAATAGTATGCACTATGCAACAGGTAATTAACAAGAAATCGGTATATCCTTGACCATTGACAAAGCAAAGGAAGTGGTACTGATGGTGAAGGTGGTGGCGGTATAGAAGTGGAAGTGTGGTGGTGGGGGTGATGGTGGTTGTGGTGGCGGTGGTAGTGTGGTAGTGGTGGTGGCGGCGACGGTGGTGGCAGTGGTGTTGATGTGGAAATTGAAAAATGACTTCCCAAAAAAAGATGGGAAGTCATTTTCCAAGAAAATGAGGGTAATTTCCTTTGACCAAACACTCATTTTCCTTTGACTCACATTTTTCACTCTTTACCAAACACGGGAAACTTGGAAAATGTTCTTGGTTTCCAAACACACCCCTGATGTATTGCAAAGAAAAAGTGAGGAAAAGGCGAATAACAGCATAAACCTCCTTAAGATGGACCTCAATTGTCTAACAAATTGACATAAACAGAAGAGAAAGGAATTTTAGGACAAATGCAAGCAAATCAGACTATTTGGTAAGAATTATTTAACATAAAAGTAGTATGCAATAGGTAATTAACAAGAAATTGGTATATCCTTGACCATTGACAAAACAAAGACAAACAAAATGAATTCCTTCTCAGACTGTAGAGACTTACCACCCGCATCAAGGAAACCCAGAAGCCTGGTGGAGATGAAGGGGCGCCAAATGGATTGTTTGGATCTTGCTCTCCATATGGCCCCCCCATGCCCATACCCATACCCATACCGTAACCACCCATTTGGCCTCCCAAACCACTGTTGTACATTCCCCCACCATACATGCCACCTCCATTGGCTCCATATAATCCACCATAACCTCCTCTATACATGTTGTTACCATACAACCCACCACCGTACATGCCGCCTGATCCATATCCACCATATGAAGACATTCCCATTCCATAACCAGAATTGTAGTTTAAACCTGAACCATAACCTGTTCATGAGACAATAAGAAAGTTCCTATAAGGCACATCAATAAGATCTATGCAATGCCATTACAGCAAAGGCATAAGTGCAACCCACAATTCTGGAATTAAACAAACTGATCAAGATAGAGATTGAAATTTGGAAGATAAGGATATGAGCTTATTATTTCACCACAAATTCAATAACTAATCAGACTTCCAAAAAAATATAGTTAGAGGTCCAATACCTAAATAGAAAAAATAAATAAAAATACCAACACAGATGACATAGTATAAGAAATAAGACTACAGATGGTCTTCAAAACTGGCTAGGTTTTCACTCTACACATTTATAACAAGTTTTATTCCATAACATTAGCAGACTATATCTCCTAGAAACAACATTTTAGTAAGGTGTCCCCATTTTTAGTAGCTGGTGATACAAAAATTTAGGTGAGTTAAAAATGAATGCATTTGATGTACTATTAACAAAAAGAAGAACTATTACTTCCGCCAGCAATCCAACCAAATGGATATGGATTGAACCAAATGTATCACAAAACATATAGGTACTACGTACTAGATGATAATACTCCTTATCAAACACCATATTCAATGGATAAAAAGGTAGACTTTTTAATGAAAGGATCCCTAGATAATGGACTTCCAAGCAAATGGGAAGAAAGGGAATAATAAAATAATACTCTGTAATAATAATAATAATCAATGAACAGGCTGATACCTCCATAGGTGCTGCCATATTGCTGCTGCTGCTCCCAAGGCCGGGAGGGTACGGGCCGAGCAACTGCGTTCCTGTTAACAGCTGTATTCCTGTCAGCTGCTGTGACAATTTCACCGGGATTAGCTGTTCCTGACGCCTCCACTACATCACTTGTGTTGCCTGGAGAGGAGGGTTTAAAGGGTGCAGGACCAGAAGATGACCCAGCTCTTTCCCAAGGTTTTGGTGGAGAGCCACCACCTGCTATTAAAGGGGAATCAACTTCAAGTACCAGTCAATTATATCAAAACAGAAAGGAAATGAAAGGCCCGAAAGAGAATGTCAGAAATTAATGCTAAGAACTAAGAAGACAGGATGAAACTTGTGAAAATTTTCACACCCTGCATTTGTAGATCATTCATAAACTTGTGACTTGCAATGTCAAAACAAATTCCCAGTATACAGTGATCTTAAGCCAATTAGCTCAAATAATCATATGGCTGTAGGCTCATATATCAAACAAATCCCAACATACAATGACCTTGTGCTAATTAGCTCAATTCTTTATAAGGAACTAAAGCCAATTATCTCACATTTCTGAATGAAAAAAAAAAAAAAAAAAAAAAAAACTACAAATCAATTACCAAAGAAAACTGATATTCTAAATCCTCACAACTAGTATATTCCCAGCATAATCTTTAAAAAAAAAAAAAAAAAAAACAAACAAACAAGCAAGTATAATCAACACTCCAAACTTCACCCTGATTCACTAAATTAAACAATTCCATTCTTCTACTGCCAAACAAACAAGAAATTTCTCGATTTTTTTCAGATTCCTCCATCCGTACATCGCAGTGATCCTTAGGCTTATCCACCAGCAGAAATATACAGAAAACGAAGTCCCACATAACAATAACCATTCATTCCGGAAATACAAAAACTACTAGAACCGAACACAATTAATTGGATGCGATTTAAGAAGATGCCGACTAGGGATAGAAATCAATTTCTGCCGACCTGATGGTTGCGGATTATTCTCCATCAAACAAAGCGGCAGCGCTCGCGGATCGCCGGCTGCACAACCACCGCTACACGGCAAGAGGATAGGCGAAGATAGAGAGAGAAAAACCGTCGGCCGGCAGCATACACACGAAAATTTTTTCCCTTTATCGGGAAAAGTGATTAATTCTTCCTTGCCAGGAAAATTCGTTGAATCCTTTGACGATTTTCTCTATGACGATTTTGCCCCTCTACCGTATCCACGCGGAGATATATTTTATACTCCTGTCTAGTCATTTTACACGCGGATCGCGAGGACCGAAGAGGGCGGTTCGGGCCGTCTGGAATCGCTCGTTACGGACCTGAGCTCGGGAAGGCCCTTTGTTTGCGAGCTCGGCCCGACATTATCCAAAGACGTTCGCATTTTTAATCTTGTCTGTTTGTCTATTCCCATTATACCCTCTGTAGACCAATTGATATACTCTATTGTGGGCAATAAAATAAAATTTCCTTCCGCCAATTTACATTTACCTGATTCGTCATACTACCTATACATATTCTCATTCATGCTTTCTTGTTTTGTGGTATTATGCAATGTTTACATTGTTGACTATAAAATCTTTTTTTTAATGTTACTGACTCCATTACATTGTAGTATTTATTCATTTATACTCTATCAACTTGTAAAATGCCTTACACTCAGACTCTATAATCGTAACGAGCACGCGTGCACAGAGGTTCGATCTCATGACTTTCCATATGGGAGTCATTACATGTCATCTGAGCGAAAGGAGATGAGCGAAAGGTGTTTGGCTTATAACTCAACCTACTATCTATGCAATCTATAAAAAATAATCCTTGTATTTGATTTATCAGCAAACTTGAGAGGAGATGTGAAGTGGGGTTTCGATGAACACTGGCCGGAGCAGTTTGCAACTCGGCTCTGGTGGCTATGACGGTTGAGAAATGACGGAGTTTTCAACTCCCAAACGATGGCGACTGGGCAAAAACTTATGTGGCTATCTCGATACGATACGAAGGCTTTCGCAAAGGAGAGAAATTCGCCGAAGGGGTGTGCGCCATCTTTTAGCTCGCAGATCGGATGGAAAAGGCTGGCTAGTGGCTAGCTCAAGATCAACGTCAACGGTTGTTGTAAAGGGAACAAAGTTGCAGGCAGCGGCGGCGTGCTCAGAGACTCGCAGGGTGTGTGGCGGAGAGGGTTCACGTATAACATCGGGTGGTGTACGACTGATGACGTGGAGGCATGGGGGATTCTTCAAGGGATTCGTATGGCAAGAGATTATGGTGCGATGAAGCTCATTGTGGAATGCGACTCCAAGAAGGTAGTCGAAAAGATGAACATGGCAAAGGATGGACAGATACCATGCAACAACATCATCCGGAGATGCGCTAGTGAACCCGAGAGCATTACGAAAGTGAGATTTGTGCATGTGCATCGGGAGCAAAACAAAATTGCGGATGCGCTAGCAAACATGGCGCTTTGCAAACACCTCCCTGGGATCAGGCACGACCAACTTGGGGCTAATTTTGCGAGGAGAATCCCACGAAACATGGGGGTGGCTGCTCGTCACTAGAGTTTGTTTGGTATCCCCTCCTTTGTTGACCAAAAAAAGGTTATTATTATTATTATATTATTATTTGAAAAAAAAAACACTTCATCCATTAAACATTCATAGAAAAAAACTCATACACAAAAATGGAAGGAGAGACAAGCCACTCCATCCCACTACACAAAGATTGATTAACTTTAACTAACTCATGAGCCACTCTATTCGTAGACAGATACACAAAACAAAACTTAGTACTTACAAAGGAAAAAAGCAAACCCTTTTACGTCAACGATAATCATTCCAAATGCATCCCTTCCCGAGCTTCCATTAATCTCACCAACCACCTGTTTAGCATCCATTTTCACCACCACCCTCTCAACCCTCAAAACCTTCAATCAGCTTAGAGTCTCCCTAACCCCAACCGCTTCAGCCCCCTAGGAGAGAAATAACCCAGCCATCTACCCCTTAGCTGCCACAAATTGCCCCTCCTCGTCTCTCAAAACCCACCCAAACTCCATACAATTTCCACCCATATCCAGGGAACTATTATTAAAACCTCTAATTAGTACATGATCCTATTAACACAGTAAAAAAATTATGTATATAAGTTTATAAAATAAATGATAGTATAAGCCGGGGGTGGAAATTGGGAAGGGAATTGGTGGGCGGCTTTGACCACCCAAGTCGCCAGCAGTCTAGTCCCTAAAGATTCCGCTTCATAGTTTCGAGTCAGCTCCTTTTCGCATTACCAAGAAAATCGGTTTCCGAATTCCTACACGAGTTCGTAGATTTTTCTCATCATCTCCTTCGCTTTTGCCTCAATTCAAGAAAATTTTCGCTCCTCCGATGACAAATTCTCGCTCTTCAAGCCTGAGATTAGCTCCAAGTCCGTGAAATTAACGTTTCGCCGAAGAGAATTGACAAGAGGAAGCTGAATTCGAGTGTTTCTTTTGGGTGGGATTTTGGAAGTTTTTTTTTTTTTTTTTTTTGGATTTGGTTTTGGATGGCTGCAAGTGCGGACACGGCGGAGGGGAACGGAAATGGTAATAGCAACGGCCAGGAAGGGACGGCAAACGCGAATGGCGCCACCAGCAACGGCCTCTCTGTGCCGGAAAATTCGGTGTTGGGGGCTACGCAGGCCGCGCTCCGCCACAACCCTGGCATCTCCGTGGAATGGACTCCGGAGGAACAGTCTATATTGGAAGAATTGCTCGCAACGTAAGTCCTTTTTCTCTTCTTTATCTGATTTCTAACTTCTTGAATTTCGGCGTGGCCATGTGATCTGATATCCTCTGCTGGATTTGCTGAACTGTGAATTTTGTTTTGGTAACGTTTTGAATTCCTGTTGCGTGAAAGAATTGTTTGGGATTTCAACTAGATCAGCCATGGAAAAGAAGAAAATTCTTTCTTTGGGCTCTTGTATCTTCATTTGGTCCTATTGAAAGGGAAATAAGGTAAATTAGGGAAAAAATCTGAAGGTGTTAAGATTCTTCAATAACATCAAAAGATTCTTTTTTTTTTTTTCCCTTAATTAAATGGATAAATAATTGCCTTGTGTTTATCCTAGAATTGGGGAACAGATAGAAATATGCCTTTTAGTAATATGCTACTTCTATTCAGAGTGCATTTGCATTATCTGAGCTGATTCTGTACTGTGCCTTTTGCAGATATGCTAAGGAAAACAACATAGTCCGTTATGCAAAAATTGCTATGCAGTTAAACGATAAGACTGTTCGAGATGTAGCACTGAGATGTAGATGGATGACCGTAAGTTTTTGATTCCCTGTTGGTTTTGTTCGGCCTTTCTATTAATATTTATCCACTATCAAGCTATTTGACGCACAAGTTGAATGATCAGCTACTGGATTCTCTTGAGCCTGAGTCCTAAGTGGAACGGATAATTGGGGAATTGGATGAATTTAGATACTACAAGCAGCAAGTGAAATTAATTGATCGAACAGACTTTTATCTTGTTAATATTTTCCTCTAATAAATCCATAAAAGGCCCGGGTAAATGTCTATTGAGTGTACAATTCATAGTACTAGCATATGGGTATATTGCTTTCCTACACAATTTTTAAGCTCATGTTTGCCTCCTTAAGAGCCATTTATTTCCATTGTAATGGCATCTCCCATTTTAAATGACTTGTGTTCTGCTAAAAATGTGTGCTTTCTGCCTTCTTTGCATAGTACTTTGAGTAGATGGTAGGATTGTTGTGATCAAACTGCAGGCATGAGGCAAAACTGTAGATTCTTATTTTACTAGTCAATTTCTCAAGACGCTATTACAAGTAGAGAAATGATACACAACCTTATTTTGGAGTTAAGGGCTGTTATATCAATAATGGTTATAAATTTCACCTAAATGTTTCCTCTCTTTTTTTGGTTGTTGCAGAAAAAGGAAAACAGCAAGAGGAGAAAAGAAGATCATAATTCATCAAGGAAAAGTAAAGACAAAAAGGTACTAAGTCTGTAATACAAGAAATGGTCTGTTAAGATCTGCAAGTGGCTCACTTCTCTTTCACTTGACTTTTCAGGAAAAGATAACCGAGTCTATGCCAAAATCTTCACATGTTGCAAATCTTACAAATGGCCCTTTCTATGCTCAATCTACTACATCCATGGACAATGATGATGGTATATCCTACAAAGGTATGTTCTTGCATTTTGAATTTGAAAAAAAATTGTAGAAGAATGATTTCTGGAAATTATTAGTGAAGGAAAACAGGTCAAATACATCATTGAACTAGATGTGAAAATGCACTTGAGCCACTGAATCTTTAAAAAATGCAATTAGACCACTGAATATTTTAAAACCGTGCAATTTTTCCAAATAGCCAATGTATTATGTGGAAATAAATTCCTACATATAGCAAATTTTTCATTTTTTTTTTCTTTCTTCATCCTCCCTAAGACTTCATTGACATCAACCCAGCAATATGGAACTTAGATCCTTCTCACTACTTAGTCTGGTTTCTCCGTCTTATATCATTAAGATGGTTGTTTGCCGTTTCAATTTTCAAATCAACACGGTTTCTTCATCTCTGATCTGTGATGAAGCTGTCTCAGATCAAGATGGTTGCTTCGTCCCAAATCTGAGATGAAGCCATCTGAGGTGGTTGACCCCCCTCCTAGCTTGGTGGATTCCATTTTGGGTTCTGATCCTTGTCCACCTAAACAACATGAACACCTTGCAAAATCATTTCAGAGAGCAGATCTCAAAGCAATACGATACTCAGTTTTCATCACCACAGTCAGCTAAACACAGCAAATTAGTATTGAAGATTCCATTTGTTGAAGCTCAATGGTTATACAATTGACTTTGTCCGGTTAATTCTAATCAACTTGTGAGGAAATGGGCTACATGGTATATAATCAACACATTCAGTGTGCTTTTCCTAGTTGGTGTACTTAAATATGTACCATTTAGGATTAACTGAAATAGCATTTTACTCTACTGGGATGTAGAATGCACCTGAATATTGTAATGTTTGTTATATTGGGATTTATTTCATTCCTCAGAAATTCTTAGTCTTTGATTAATTTTTGCCTGAAACTTGAAATTTTCCATAGTTGATCTGTATTTATTTTTAAATAAATCAATCACCACTTCAATCTTAATTTGACACATCTTTATGAAAATTTAAAAGAATAGTTAAGTCTTCTTGTTGTACTTGTGTGACTGTTTTTGGAGAGCGATGATTCAAAATATCACTTTAGATACATTTCTGTCTGATATTAATTCCTAATTCATGCTTACACTCATTGCAATTTGTCATTTGCAGCAATTGGTGGCCCCGCTGGACAGCTCCTTGAACAAACTGCCCAGGCCTTGGATCAGATTTCTACAAACTTTGCTGCTTTCAAGGTTAGTATGGAGCACCTCTCTAGTTAGTAAAAGCTAAGTGTTAAAATACCCGTCTCAGCAAACCTGATCGCTGGATTTTGTACAGTGAATAAGATCTTTCGTGGAAACAAAAATCTTGGTTTCTGTTATATTTCAAACTAGTATGGATTTTGTGCCACACTGCGTTGATGCTAAATTTACTGTACTGACAATTCAAATTTACAGAGCATTGTCTTTTTCTTTTTTTTTTTCAAAGTTGATGGTACTTAAATTTTATCTTACTCTATTTCTATGCAGATACATGAGAACATCGGTCTTCTCTGCCAGGCTCGAAATAATATCCTCTCGATCTTAAATGAGTACGTCAAATATTTTCTCTGCCTCTTTTGTCATCTTTGCTTTCAACATAATGGATATCTTTAACTGAATCATTATTGAATAAGGTCACATCTCTTTTGACACTCCAGAAGCCTGCTGTATTTAGAATATTCACCTTTTCTCTCTGACAAACTTTCAAAAAATTCAAAATAATTGTGCATGGTATTTAACCACTAAAACAAGTAATTCTGATGTTTGAATTCTTCTTTGCTTAAGCTTCTCCCATATATTTCCTGTAATTCTCGTGTGATTGCTATTAATTCAGTGCTCTTAACAAGGTGTGAGAATGTGTGATTAAGGGCGTGCTACAACTTTTTATGAATGCCATTATGTTACACTGGCCTCTCTCCGGATAGGGCTTAAACAGCAGGATAGAAGAAAACGGTAGTTCTTAAGAAATCCCGAGAATGAAAGTTGTTAGAAGGGGAATTGGTTTTTCTTGCTAAAACAGTATATAGCATCTGCCCATTTGAAAATATCGACGAGGCATCACATTAGTGTCGTCGATCTGTACTTGGCACCATCATAGTTCATGTTCTTGGATTTACGTTTTTGATGACCATTGAATTCTGTTACTAAGTCGTCCCACTCTAACCTGTATACTGCAGTATGAACGATATGCCGGAGATAATGAAGCAGATGCCACCCCTCCCCGTGAAGCTGAACGACGAGCTTGCCAGCACACTTCTTCCGCAGCCACCCTTGCCAAAGCAGGCTTGAGATCCCGGTTGTTGTCGCGGTGCTAACTAATCATGTTTCTGACTATTTTCCCTCAAGCTCAGACCCTCAGATTATATAATTAGATAGCAAAATAAGCTGCTGCTCTGTACCTCAGTTGGAAATTTGCTTTGAATATTCTTTGGTTTTTATTTTTATTTATTTTTTTTTGGGGTCATTTTTTAAGCTTTCTTTTGTAATGTTCCTGCTGTGGTACTCAGTTTTCTTCCTCCTTTTGTTGGGTTTGGTTGATTAAAGTATAGGATTAGGTTGTTTAGTACTTTGAATGTGGCATTGTCAATAGAGGGTAGTTGTGTCTAAAGGATTCTTGATTTTTGTATATAATATTTAGAAAAAAAAAAAAAATCTCCATTAGATATTATGCTTCTTTGACTTCTTCTTTTTGCTTTCATCTAGTTAAGCAATGAAAATCATAATTAAAGAATTTTTAAAAAGAAGGATAATTGTCAAAGGCATGGATATTGCCTGAATTCAAAATAATGAGTTATTGATACATTTGAAGATTACCTTGTCAGTTATCATATTTGCGTGGCATAATTATCTTGATTGACTAAAAAACTAATCATCTCATCAACTTCTATGAGCACAACTTTACTGGTCAATCAAGTGTTGAAAAAGGCGCTAACTTTCTTTAGGTGTCTTGATTTTTTATTTTTATTTTTTAAAAGAACCAGGGGTTCGGCTGCCTAGACCACCTAGGCGGCCGGCCGCGGAGGAGGCCGATTTCGGCGTTTCTCGACGCAGTCGGGCGCCGCCTAGCGTCTAGGCGCGATTTTTGTAACATTGGGTCAGTCAACTCGAGTTAAAATAAATTTATAAGTTTTGTCTGTTAGCAATCGCAAGGAACTCAAACCAAAATAAATTTATAAACTTTGCTTTGCTAGCGCGGCAAGATAAGGCACAACTCAATTGGTTAACTAAATAAGTTAATAAGGCTCAGCTTTGTTAGCACTTAGCAGTCACAGGATGTGACATAACTTGGTCAGCCAAAGCAAAATAACTTAATAAGCTTTGTTATACTATCAATATGTCAACCAAAGCAAAATAACTTAATAAGCTTTGTTATACTAGCACGAACAAAAAAGGCCAGCCAGAGAGGAATTGTTCCCATAAGGAGGGGAAAAAGGCATGGTGTATATTTGATGAGAATATATTTTCTCATCTAGTATCAGCTAGGTTAATTTCTCCCATGGAAAACGTCGGTACGGCTCTGTTCTTGGTTCCTCTGAACGGACTGTTACCGAGATTCCTTCGATACCTGCGAGTGGTAGCCTTTCATCGGCTCATCACTTCGTTTCCTTAAAGTTGACCTCCCGAAATTATCTGTTCTGGCGGACTCAGATGCTTCCGTTTCTTGAAGGCCAAGGGCTTCTAGGTTTTAAAAAAAACGTCGACCGCGGACAGCGCCCCAGCAGTGGTTTCGCCCTTGTAGTTCGCCGAGCAGCCGGAGAGCGCGAGAGCGAGTGGACGATCCTAGGGTTTGTTCGATCACCTGCCAAAGCTGCCGAGAAGTACCCTTGCCGACGGCGAAACGGAGAGTCTCCTCGTACAAGGAAGAGATGAGCATGGAGAGGATGGCTTTGTCTTGCCGACGCCATGCAAGCTGCCGCGCCGGGAGATCGGAAACCACCGCCGGGGCGCTATCCGCAATCGACATCAACACCGGTGATTCCGTCGGAAAGGGCGTAGAGCCATCAACAAAACCTAGAAGCCCTTGGCCTTCAAGAAACGGAAGCATCTGAGTCCACCAGAACAGATAATTTCGGGAGGTCAACTTTAAGGAAACGAAGTGATGAGTCGATGAAAGGCTACCACTCGCAGGCATCGAAGGAATCTCGGTAACAGTCCGTTCAGAGGAACCAAGAACAGAGCCGTCATTAACACCGACGTTTTCCATGGGAGAAACCTAGCTGATACCATATGAGAATATATTTTCTGTATTGATAATCAAGAACAGCGGATACAAAGTATATAAAGATAGGAAATAGAGATCTAGTCTAATACTACTAATATAATAGAGATCTAGTCTAATAGTACTAGTAGAGTCCTAATCTATTTAATGTTCAAGTATACTTACATTCTTTTATAGTGATTAGTGTTATTTAAACAAGATATTAGTTGAAGAGTCGGTCTTTTTGAAAAATCTAGAATGTTCTTAAATGAAGGGTAATGTTATTTAAAAAAAAAAAATTGATAATCCAATTTTTTGAAAGATCTAGAATGTTTTCAAATGAAAGTTAGACGATAACATGTTTATTAGCAAGATAAATCATTTTGAATCTTATTCTTAGTAATTCTATTTGAATTTTACATAATTTTATTCCATCCAACTTTTAAGTATATTATACATCCATTCAACTTGAACTCAAAACTATAATTTTATTTGGAGTGCAACTACAAGCCTTCATCATGGCCTGTTTGAAATTCACTTTGCCACCGCTATGATGCTTTCTTATTTCGCAAATTATACAGTAGTGAACCATGATCTATATTGTAAGATTAATCGTTGATGTATGTTATTTTTAATATATTACAAAGTATATATTTATCTTTAGTGAATTATATAATTATTTTAAAATAATATTAAGAGTTGTCACATTTGTTAAAAATAAGTCACTCTTTTATTATTATGCACTTATGCTATCATATTTTTTATTCGATTTTAAAATAATTACAGTGATTATGAAAGTATTGAGACATACATTTCTTTATAAAATAATTTTGGAGATTAGGGTAAATATGAAGCAAAATAAATCATGTATGGGTGCAACACTAAACTACTAAAGTCAATACAATAGACAAATGTCCTACCAGAGATCAATTTAAGAATAATGTTTGATGATATATGCTCTTTTCTTATAACATCAAAGTGTCTAATCATCCACACCCATCAATTTATAATAAACAAAAGAATCTCGGCACTTGTTCAATTGCAACACCATATCAGGTAGACCTACCACTAATTAAGTTTAAGCACATCAATAAGAATGTAAAGATAAAAGACAATCCTAGTATTTGGGGTAAGAGACCAAGGTTCGAATCTCGGTGGCGGCAGTGTAAGAATTATGTTTAAAATAGACAAATTCTTTGTGCGCACCGACATTTGGCTCTGCCTACTAACCCATTGAGTCACCGTGATTTACATCCTCTCACATACTCTGTCGGGTTAGAGTGTGGGGCCCTTAGGATAACAATCCTAATCAAGTTAGTCAACAGTTAGCTTGTTAATTTTAAATTTTAACTTTAATGAAAACTATTTATTGACCTTTTTACTTTGAATCGATCAATTATGAACAATGTGAAATTCTTTGCAGGCTAGTATCCCTCCCAAAATATTGAGTTGGAATGTTTTTCAAGCATAAACAAAAGAGAATCGATCAGGTCAACCGCATGACCCCTTCAAGGCTTCAACTATAAACCATCTCCGATCCTCTCTCCTCCCCACTTTGCTCCCTTCTCACTTCAACAAAATTTAGAGAGAGAAATAAGATCAAGGAGAGAGAGAGATGAAGGCACCATCTTCCAAACTCATTCCCTCCTTCTTCTTCTTCCTCCTCCAGCTATATAGTTCTCAGTTCTTGAAAGTAAACTCTCAATCCACAGATTCCTGCAACTCCAATCTCCTCCTCAAAACTCAACTCCCATTTGAACCCACTTCCTTCCACTGCCTTCCTGTCTGGGATACCCATGGCTTCATCCTCCGAGTATGTATTCCCTCTCAACTAAACCCTTAACTCACTTTTAACCTGCCAAACTGCAAACTTCTGAAGGATTGCACAGTAATTACTACAGGATTGCACTGTTACAGTAAATATAGTAGTTCGCAGATTCGCGCGTTAAGATTAGTTCATACCTGATTATGGAACTGCAAACTTCTGAAGGATTGCACCATAATTACTACATGATTGCACTGTTAGGGTGCAATCCTTTATATAGTAAATATGATGCAATCCTTCAGAAGTTCGCAGATGATTAGTTCATAGTTCATACCTGATTATAGAATTACAAACTTCTGAAGAATTACACCGTAATTATTACATATCGTTATGATGCAATATAGTAAATATAATACAATCCTTCATAAGTTCACAGATATGCGCGTTAAGATTAGTTCATACCTGATTATGGAACTTTATATATATATATATATATATATATATATATATATATATATATATATATATATATATATATATATATATATATATATATATATGATTTTCATGTATGTTGTGTGTTTTGCAGTATATGCAGACAGATACGAATGTATGGAGCTTCGTGTTGTCAGCGCCAAACCAGAATGGGTACGTGGGGATCGGATTTTCCGCGAACGGGAAGATGGTGGGGTCCAGTGCGATAGTGGGGTGGGTGGGTAGTGATGGGGCCCCCACGATGAAGAAGTATTTTCTGGGTGGGCAATCTCCTCAGGAAGTGCAGCCTGATCAAGGGAGCCTGCAATTAGTGAGCTTAAATTCCTCCATTGTTGCCGAGAATTCAAGAATCTATATCGCCTTCCAGCTCACCACCGATATGCCGTCCAACCGCCTCATCTACTCCGTCGGACCCGCCGGAATGTTGCCGTCTTCCTCCACCTTCCGGTTGACCCAACACCAGGACCAAATCTCTACCCTTTTGGATTATACCACAGGTAACATATTAATACTACATTTTCTAACTATATATATATATATAAAAATAATAAAAATTGAACAAATATTTAAAATTTTAAGAAAATACTACTCCTGCTCTCAAATTCGACTCCCAATTTTTACTAAGTTCTACTATATGTACTTCCAAATCTTACTCCTTTCTGACGGGTATTGATATGCTATTTTCTTCATTGGGACCCACAGAATGAAATAACTAATCATCAATTGTCACATCATGAGGAAATAGAAATACAGAGTACATGTAGTAAAATTTAAAATTTTAAGTTGTTGATCAATATCCTGACCATGATTGATCATAAATTCGTACTTATGAGTCATAAAGACTCGGACTTCACCACATTATAGGTATTTGATACAATCATGCATAATTGTATTGAAGTATTATTTGTAGTGATTTTTTATATTACATGGTATAACGATGTTGGTAAGCATGATAATACTTGGGGCAAAAAGTATGGGTACTAATTGGGCACGGTAGACTTTTTCTCAAAATTATGCTTCATAAAATGCATTAGATCATCACAGAAATGAACTCGGCCATAGTGATTTGATTTCACCACTTTGATCATCAACTTTCGATTTTATCCAATAATATTATTAATTTTTAAATTTGTACCGGAAAATAAGTATAAATTTGAATGAAATAATACATTTGAAGGATTTAAATAGGTACAAATTTGATAGTTTACACCATATATGTGAACTGAAAGTTTATGTTCAAATTTTTACCAATTTAAATTTTTTGAATAAGTACTCTATAATAAAAAAAAAAAAAAAATCTATATAAACAGTTCAGTTGGAATTCGTAATAAATAGTAGGCTAGAATCAAATATTCTGTTCATGCCTGTTCATTTGAAACAATTTAATTTTGATTGCATGTGGCTTAATCATGCTTATGCATAATCCAACCATCATTACTTGTTATTAAAGTATAGAAGCTAGTGGATATAGAAATTGTCAACACACATAATAATATTTTTAGTAAGTTGGGTTAGTTAAGATGTTAACAAAAGTGGACACTGTGCTCATGTAGGGCCCATGACAGCTACTTGTGAACTGCCTTCAGTAAACAAAACGATATGTTAGTTGAGTGCCGGCCAACTAAACTACCAAGTATAAAAAATTCTTTATTATATATATATATATATATATATATATATATATATATATATTACAAATGATCTATTAATTTAATAACATTAAAATAACTTAACTTAATAGTTTGAATTTCAATAAAAACACTGGATAATCATCGTAGTGTTGCTGTCATTGTTGTCCATGTTATAAGATTTGAATATATTGAAAATTTTAAAGTGTCTTTATCATGTTTATCATGTTGATTTATAGCGAGTATAAACCTCATATATTTGAATATATTGAAAATTACCGTTACACACCCTTAGATGCAACCAAACATATTATAAGGCTTATTCCCGGTGGTTATTGACACTTTAAAAATTTTCACGAATAAAGATAAAATTGTATTCTTATTATGTTGTTACAGGTGAAAGTGAAACAAAAACCTTGTATGCGACACTAAGGAGGACCCACGGGTTGTTGAACTTGTTTGGTTGGGGAATTTTGGTGCCGATTGGGATGATAGTCGCTCGCTACTTTAGGCAATGGGATCCAGTATGGTTTTACTCTCACACCGTTGTCCAAACGATAGCATTTATCTTAGGATTCGCAGGTGTGATATGCGGTTTGGTACTGGAAAACCGCCTTGGCACGGATGTCGATACGCACAAAGGCCTCGGGATCTTCATTCTCTCGCTTGGTTGCTTACAGGTTTGTGTATTTTGTCTCGACTCAAAAGTTGAACTGATAATGAAACTGTAGATATAACCGTTGGGTATAATTTGTAGGTGATTGCACTTTTGGTTCGACCCAATAAGGAAGCCAAAGTGAGGAAGTATTGGAATTGGTATCATCACAATGTGGGAAGGATTTTGGTGATTATTGCAATTGCAAACATATTTTATGGAATCCACTTGGGGGATGCAGGGACTGCCTGGAATGCTGGTTTTGCTATTGCCCTTGTTGTACTGTTCTTCATTGCTGCTATCCTTGAGCTTAGGCTGTGGACTGCAAAAGACTAGTTCTTTTGTATAATCTTTATTTCTTCTTCTTTTTTAATTATTATTATTATTTGTAATTTTGTATTTGTATTTATTATTGTTATGATGAGGATTTTCCTTTATCCCTAATTGCATCATCCATGAAAATACTATTCACGCTGCAGAATGGGAAAAACAGTTAAAAAAAAAAAAAAACTCACTAAGATTTAAACAGTATAACTAATATTGGCCCTGTTTGGTAACATAGTTAGCTTATCAACCAATTTTGACTTATTTGACCACTGTTAGTTATTTGACTTGATTAAATATTGAATATAAGTGTTTGATTAATTAGCTTTTTTTGTAACAGCTTATTGCTCAAAAATGCTAAAATTCAAAAAACTGATCAAAAGTAACTTTTTCGATAAACTTTTTGAGAAAGTTATTTTGCATGTAAATTAGCTATCAACTGACAACGAATTTACCAAACATCTTTTTACAATCAACTAATCTATCAACTAATCAAACCCACTAACCCAATTAGCTAATAGCTAATTAGCTATTTACCAAACACCCCCATAGTAATATATGGGGAGATATAATGAGAAGGATTGAAGTGACTAAATTACAATTTCAAAAGTGTTGCAGGGCTCACACCTGATATAAAGTGCAGACAGTCCGAATTTAGTTTCAAGGCAGAATTCAGGTTTTAATCTGCAACCTCTATCCAGATGCTCAGAATGAGCTTCAGCTAACCTGTTCCGGAGTACCTCCAGATTAACCTGTCACGGTTGCACAGAGAAGATCAAGTCAGAGATGGTAGTTCAACAACGATCAAGAAGGGAGCGGAAGGGCCAAACAAAATGATCACGATAATGATGATTGTCTTAAAGTGTGAACAGAGAGAGTATACATATTCTAGCTATAGCTGAGATGAAATTTAACGATGCTTTGATATATAGTTCGTGAACATGAGAAGAATGATGTTAAAAAAGGAACAGAACCACAGAGGAATGAGGGGAACAGGAAAGAAAAAGGGAATAAAGAAAAATTCAACGGGTATGAAATGTTGGAAAAAAGAACATATTGATACGGACAAGTTACTGTAAACCTACAGATAACAAACCCTTGATGTGAAACACTGAAACCTATAGCTTAGCTTATAACGACTTTAGTGACAAATGATTATCAGCATATTATGTTACTCCATATTTAGGATATTTTTGCATGGTGATTAATTAATAATTGTATTATTCAAAAAATGATAAACTGCAATCACTTTTGACTGACTCGAAACTTGTGACCCTATGTACCAAAAAGACAAAAATCATGCCAAACAGTTTAACAGGCAACCGTAATTAAGTTTATCAGGCTTTTAACCGAAACAAACAAACACAAGCTGTTCTACTTCAGTCATTAAAGCAAGTTTAGTTATCAAATATAATCCAATGCAAAAATAATGAAATAGTGGTAGTACAACCTCGTCGCCTCTGTCAAGTGTAACACCACACTGAGTGCAACCAATTAGATGGCGGTTCTCTTTCAACTCTCCATGCTTGCAGATGGGACACCAAACCTCCTTGGCCACCTATATAAGTATCAGAGTTACTTAAAACTTCATTCAAAGAAGCTGCTCAAAAGGAAGAGGACAGATATCTAGGAAACATGAACACTTTTCTATTCCAGAAGCAATAAATAAAAATGAGCCTTACTCTCAAACAGAGAAACTCCCAAACGAGTAAATAACAACAAATAGGAGAAAAGATCAACTGTATCGAGTTTTTACTATCTATATGCCATAGATGTTTTTCCATATTTCCCTTATAACTATTCTATCTAGGTAAAAATCCACTTCCACACACATCTCACAATAAGCTATATTTGCAGATCAACATGAGAATGAATCTGTGATATATATCTCAGATGTCTTATGGCAACATACCTGCTCATCATTCAGATTCATGTGATCATAGACCGCACGAGCTAGGAAATCATCTTCTTCATCTTCCCAACTTGTACTAGATCCTTCTTGTTCTGCAAGAAGCTAAAGTAAATCTAAGCTCAAAACATTGATTATGAAAAATTGTGATTATAGGAGAAGAATGACAGGATAAGCCTTGGTGTTCTCTTCCACATCCCTCTAAAATGGAGAGACTAAAGCTTCATAAAGTTCACATACAACACTGGCTTGGAATAGTAGGTCTTCCATTAGAAGACAACAACACTATCATGCTACAATGGGGAGACGTAATAGCATTTACCTTTTCTTGTTTCTTCCACCCGAAGATCCTCATAAAATATCCTTTGCATTTCCAACAACATTTCCTCACAATCACCTTGATATGCTGTGTGAAGACCATCATATTCCCAGATAATCTCATCAGTCTCGGGGGCAATTTTAGAAGTACCATTGTCCTCAATCAGGACCTTTATTTTTTGCAATTCATCAGATACTATGTCCCGGAAGGATGAATTGACAATCTCCTACAACCAGAAAAACATACATTAACTTCAACATTGAGTTGCTAAACTGCTGAATGCTGATGGTGGCAACCAAACCGAATACATCCAAACTCATAAGATTGACAGTGTGAGTACATAACATAAGAATTCAACCTTAAAAAACCATTAAAAAAATCAAAAAACATACATAACTTAAACATTGAGCTGCTAAACTGCTGAATGCTGATGGTGGCAACCAAACCGAATACATCCAATCTCATAAGATTGACAGTGTGAGTACATAACATAAGAATTCAACCTTAAAAAACCATTAAAAGAATCAATTGAATCGCAATAACAGCAAGTAAAAGTGCATATTTCCTGAATAACCTGGTGGTTTTTGGCCTGAGTTGATCTCAATTTCCAGAGCAGGCGGGTTCGATCCTCCTGTACCCTTGTGTAACAATTTTCTCTGAGCTACAAGCACAATTAACATTATTTCAATAATTTCCAAGCATATATACATAAAAGGTTCATGTAACACATCATAGGATTATAGTAACCTTTTGCTTCCACTTGGGATAATTATTGAACGAACTTCGAGCTTTGAGAGATTCTCGATTGTGGACATTCTTTTTCTCAGCTCCACCCATTTCTCGGCGATTATAATTGCCAGTTGTTCTTTCCGTCAACGGACTACGGCGGAGGGAGAGGGAGAGGGAAAGAGAGAGAGCAGCGGGGATTCTGGCGCCGGCGGGTCGAGTGTACTGTTAGGTAATTCAAGGATTGGGTTATCTGGCCCATTTTTTTATTTGCCGGTTGGCCCATGAACCCAAGTTTTATTTGCTTAGGCTCAAAAGCCCACAATTTTATTCGTTGATTGGCAATTTATATCCTACACCGGGTGCCATTGCATTGTGCGCCCTGATGCAAAACGACGTCGTTTCAGATTATTTTTTATTTTTTTTAAAATTTTGCTACCCTGTGTTGATGTTAGTTTTCTTTTTAAAAAATCTCATGTTCAAAAGTGTACATAATTTTATACTATAATACACATAATTGTATAACAAAATACACATACTTTTTTTTAAAAAAAAAGATAATACATATAATCTAACATAATACATAATATACATAAACTTTTAACATAATACACATAAATTTTTGTTTTGGATGTACATAATTGTATAAAATAGATGTACATGATTGTATAAAAAATGTACATAATTGTATAAACAAATACACATAATCACGTCAACTGACTACATAACTTACCAAAACGACGTCATTTTGAGAGGCGCGGGGCGCACAGTGCTATGCGCGCCATGGTGCAGGGTATAACGACTAAGCATTATTGACATTGGCAAATTATATCGTGCAACGCGCATCAAAACGACGTCGTTTTGTTTAATGAAAAGAAACGGTATCTGTTTCGCGCCGTTCCGCACCCTTCCGCAAAAAGTAACTTTGTTATTCAGTTTCATTTTGTATACACTACAGTTTCAGTTCAACACAACTACAGTTTCATTTCGATATAACTACAGTTTGGTTTGATGTACCTTCAACTATCATTCTTAATAGTTTGAGTTTTGACATGATCTAAGGAAAGTTCCTTTGTTTGTTAAAAAAAAAAATGAAGAAGAAAAGTTCAAATTCTACATTAATTTTAATGCCAACTATAATGAATTTCTTTATATAATATTGCATTGATATAATTTGAATTACTTATTTAAATACAAACATTGAGTATTAAATCTGTCACGCAATGCGCTTGTAAAACTAGTTCACAGCAATTTGTTTTAAGTATAAAATTCATACTCTTACATGACGTTTGGTTGGAGGGGGGAATTACGTGGGAAAGAAATTGCAATTCCATGGTATATGAATTACTAGGAATAAAGTGGAAATTTAAATTTCACTGTTTGGTTTACAGGAATAGAATTACTGGGAATTTCAATTCCAATGTTTGGTATACATGAGAATTGAAATGGAATAAGTAGTATAAAGTCCAAAATGCCCATTGTTGTTGTGGTATTAATTTTAGATTAAAAAAAAAGAAGGGTAATTTTGTCTCATCACTAGCTTTTTTTCTTCCTAAAATTTCAGGAATTAAAATCTCAGGGGGACATGAGATTTTAATTCCATAAAAATGAGGGAATTGCAATTCCATGGAATTGCAATTCCTTCCAACCAAACTAAAAGGAATTTTATGGCCTTTGGATTTTTGTGAAAATTAAGTGAGAAGGAAATTTATTTCCTCCAACCAAACGCCATGTTAAGATACAAAATTTCATAATACTTTTTTTTTTTGAATGCTACTAGCTCTATTACATTGTAGTATCTGTTCATATACTTTCTCAACCTACTGAAACACAAAGAGCTAATAATACCTCCACTGAGGCTCGAACTCACAACCTTCCAAAATTTCATAATACAAAATACAAAAATTCACAATACAACACACATGTATATACACCAAAGTCCACAAATGCACTACGAATCATAATCCATGGTATAAGATTGCTTGACATTTTATTTTTTTTTTGGTATCGTAATAGCAACCCAAGAGAATAATTTTTTTTTTTCTAAAGTTTGGGAGGATGAGAGATAAGATGAGGCGGAGGTAAAAGAAGATGAGAGAATTTTTTTTTTTTTT